CATACCTTACGATTTAGTAGAAAATTTTCCGCAATTTTGATCAAAATAAAAAAGCATTTCCGGCCCATATTCATATAAATTTGAGGACAAATTTGTGCTTGCATGAAACTTTATTCATAACGCTTTCCAGGAGAAAAATATATAAATGATATAACAACCAATCACAGATAGCCAGCATTTTTCATCTCTAATGTCATGTTCCCTTCACGAATGGCTGCGCCCATGTAACTTTATTTAGTACATTGTAACCTGAAGATGTTACTACGCAATGGACTACTTTATCTACAGATCTTAAAGATAAAAAATCAGTTGCACTTTCCAGACTACTAAACAACGATGGATTAACACCGCAAACAGCTAGTTTACACATTTTTACCGATGCCAGCAAACAAGCTTATAGAGCATGCGCCTACATTATACAAGGAAAACATTCGCAATTAGTTATGGCTAAAAACAGAGTTGCACCACTTTAAGTTATTACTTTGCTGCAACTGGAGTTGATGGGCGCCGTAGTTGGAGCGAAATTAGGTAAACATGTGTCGAATATTTTAGGAATTACAGAAATCACATTTTGGTGTGATAGCCAAATCGTTCTGAGCTGGTTGTATTTGTCGAAAATACAAAAACCTTGTATTGCTAATAGAATTACAGAAATCCTACAACTTGTAGAAAATTAAACTTGGAGGTATTGTCCAACCGACTGTAACCCTGCTGACTGTCTTACGCGCGAAATGTCTTCATCGAAGTTTTTGAACAATGAAACTTGGTTCAACGGACCGAAATGGCTTGCACATGAAGAACAATGGTCGCATTGGGATCGAAATTCCGTTGATATGACAACAATTACAGACAATGAAATTAAAGAAATAAACCGGCAAATTCAACAAAATGATGACAGATTCACAGTTGTAAAGGAAGTCATCAATATAGAGAAGTTCAGCAGTTATCCAAAACTGATCCGTATAATGTCTTACGTATTGCGCTTTATAAAGAATTGCACAACACTTTCAGAAAACTGGAATTACCAACAGTTAGAGGTAGACGAGATTCAAAATGCTTCACCCGTGTTGATACGGAATGTACAGCAAACTATTTTCATTAATGAAATCCGCAATATTGTTTTAAAGGATACTAATAGACTACCTATTGTACGTCAGTTACGATTATATATCGACGAAAAAGGACTACTACGTTCCGGAGGAAGAATTGACAATGCGCTCGTTAGCGAAACAGTGAAATACCCTTATTTACTTCCGACAAAACACCCATTGACAACATTGATTATTTTGGACGCACACAAACTACAAAAACACAGTGGAATAAATGGGACAATTACATTAGTTCAACAGACATTTTGGATACCGAAAATCCGACAAAGAGTGAAAACCGCATTACAGAATTATATTCCCTGTAGGAAGATAATTAGTCGACCGTATGTTGCACCTGACCCACCACCGCTACCAAAGGATCGTCTTGGAGAAGAGCCGCCATTCAGCATCACGGAAGTTGATTTCACAGGACCGTTACATGTACGACAAAATGGAAACAAGGAAACGAAAGCGTACATATGTCTATTTTCATGCACCTCAACCAGAGCTGTTCACATTGAGTTAGTTCAGGATATTACGACACATTCGTTTTTATTAGCATTTCGCAGATTTGTTAGCCGTTGATCTTTACCAAACATTATGATATCTGACAATGCTTCTACATATAAATCTGCAGCGTCAGAGATTTCTCAAATATTCAAATCAGAAACTGTGCACAGAAAACTTAGTGAGTTTGGAACAGTGTGGAAGTTTATACCCAGCAGGGCTCCTTGGTACGGAGGATGGTGGGAGCGACTTATTGGACTCACAAAAACTTCGCTCAAGAAAACATTAGGACATGCCTGTATAGACTTAGATATGCTACACACCGTTGTTACAGAAATCGAGTGCACACTGAATGACCGACCGTTAACGTACATCTCTACTGATGAAAAGGATCCAGAACCACTTACGCCGTCTCATCTTTTGTATGGTAGAAGATTAAAAACACCTCCGTATCCTTCAAATGACCATAACGAACTTAAAGACACTAGAAAAACACTAACTTGTGCTTATGCGCTAAAGCGTAACAAACAACAAGAAGAATTGCTACAACACTTTAGGACGAGATGGAAGAAAGAGTACCTAACATCACTACGGGAATTCCACAGAGCCAGTGGAAATGATCTACAGAGGATAAAGACCGGGGACATCGTACAGATTCATGATGACTCGCCTAGAACTGTATGGAACATTGGTATCATCGAGGACCTTGTGCGTGGTGGAGATGGTTTGGTGAGATCAGCAATAGTGCATACAAAATTTGGACTTACCAATAGACCAATCGTCAAACTGTACCCACTAGAGATAAATTCTAATGACAATGATGAATCGCAAATACTTAGAAGGAGTGTTCGTTTACAAAACCGCAATCAGAGACTGTAATCATAACTGAGAACAATTTTCAATCTCAACTTGATTCAATGATAGTTATATGTGATTCATAGACTTTAAAGTTTCAAATTTTTCATTTCTTTTCATTTCATAGACAATTTTCTTAATTTCGATACATTGCTCATTGAGACTTTAATTGCACAAACTCGCGGCCCAGAGTATGTCGAGGATAAATAGAGACTATCACAGTACCGCGGGAATCATATTTGTGCTTATACACGTTAGCGCTGTCTATATGTAACCTCATGGTTGCTATGTGTTAAGGTCTTTGGATTTCAGCATTAAATCATTCATTTGTATAGACGTCTTTTTCTTACTTCATAACACAACACATTCTACAATTATACGATCAAGAGAATCTGCCTTTAAACTTTTAGACGAATCAGACAACCCGTTGTTGGGTTGCTGCCCCAGAGTTGGTAATTTTAAGGAAATTTTGCAGTTTTTGGTTATCTTGAATATTATTATAGATAGGGATAAACTTTAAACAGCAATAACGTTCAGCAAAGTAAGATCTACAAATATGTCAAACATGACCAAAATTGTCAATTGACCCCTTTAAGGAGTTATTGGCCTTTAAAGTCAATTTTTAACAATTTTTCGTAAATTTTTGTAATCTTTACAAAAATCTTCTCCTCTGAAACTACTGATACAAATTTTACCAAACTTGGCCACAATCATCATTAGGGTATTAAGTTGAATGTCCGATGACCCCACTTTCCAACCAACATGGCCAACATGGCTAAAAATAGAACATAGGGGTAAAATGCAGTTTTTGGCTTATATCTCTGAAAATAAAGCATTTAGAGCAAATCTGAGATGGGTAACAATGTTTATCAGGTTTAAATCTATCTGCCCATTAAATTTTCAGACAAATTAGACGACCCGTTGTTGGGTTGCTACCCTGAATTGGTAATTTTAAGGAATTTTGCAGTTTTTGGCTATTTTGAATATTATTTTAGATAGAGATAAACTGTAAACAGCAATAATGTTCAGCAAAGTAAGATCTAAAAATAAGTCAACATGACCAAAATCATCAATTGACATCTTCTTGGAGTTATTGTCCTTTAAAGTCATTTTCTGCAATTTTTTGGTAATTTTTGTAAACTTTTTTCAAAAATCTTCTACTTTTAATTTAACTACTGGGCCAAATTAAACCAAACTTGGCCTCAATCATTATTAGGGTATCTTATACTATTTATTATGATTTTAACCTTATTAAACATGATTTCCAAAACCACAGTAGATACAGGTGAGTGACACAGGCTCTTGAGAGCCTCTAGTTGTTTTTGCAGATCCTCAAATCAGACACTGGTTCATATGTCTCCAATGATAATTGGCCTGTCTTCTATAGTATTTTTTTCTGAATGATATTTGGGGTGTCACATAGTTTTTAGAGTCAGAGTCATTATCAGTTTGATTATATTTTTTCTCTAATTCTTACTTCATTTATCCCTTTCCTGACCTGTTGATTATTTTTATTTAATCAACATGTAGTTCATTTGATCTCAGTTCTTCTTTGGTCAAAATTCCATTATGACATCAAATTTTCTTGCTTTCCTCTGAAATCCCTATTATGACGTCATGAAAAAAGGCGACCATGCCTGATGACGTCACATAGAAAGAACACATTTTTGTGCAAGTCGTTCGAAAAGAAGGATTAATATTGTCTGCATATCGTCTAAAAATCATTAGAGAAGCAGATTCCACTACTAAATATCGTATCACACTCCATGCAGTGGTAGAATCTATATTTACATAACTTGATATTATACAATTATTGACTTTTGATGAGGTTGATACAATGGGGTTGATAAATCATTGTATCAGCTGATAATATTATATGATTATATATCTTTTTTTATCCATCTCCAATTTCTAGCATTTGCTCAAGATATTTAACTGCTTCTTTATACTAAATGTATTATCTGCTTTGGCAGTTGCTAAAACTTTTATAAATTAAAATATTCAATAAGATTTATTAAAAAAAATAACATTCGAAAAATGAGAATGTGCATGACGTAATGAGCCTACATTATTGACGTTGACTAGGTAAAAACTATTTATAGGTACACCTTAGTTGTTCCAAATCTTATATCAACCTCTTGGGTTTTTCCCATAGTGAATAGAAGATTCCCTACGTTTTTAACCAATGAGAACAGAGAATTTTTTTAATTATTTCAAAGCATATTTTAATATCTTTTTTTTCAACCATATTGAACTTTGGACTTAAATAGGCATGAATTATCCCCATGACATTAAGCAGCCAAAAAATTAGATCATTCAACTACTGTTGAATCATAGATGATGTAATTATAAAAAAAAATGCTATTCAATAATTTTGTTTATATTTATTGATGTGTCAACATTTCTTACATTCAACAACATGCATAAAAACAACTAATTTAGCAAAATGCTACCAAATATTATAAAATATGAACAATGATGATAAAAAAAAAGCTGGTTTGTTGCATTTATATATATTTTTGGCATTAGTTCATGCTGTTCTGTTTACAGGATCAACAATTTCAGAAAAGGTCAATGGTGTATTTGACATGAGTATGTCTGTAGTAGAAAGTTCCTCTACATTGTATAAAGTGACATTATCTGTAAATATCTGTTACTTGAGCGGAGGTATTTGTACAAACTTGACACTAGCAGAAGAGGTCACTTTGAAAAAACCAGACTGTTCACCAGAGAGAAGAAGGAGGAAGAGGAGAGATACTTTATATGGCTATGGGTAGGTCATGCATTATGTTAATATGACCTGCTGCATTCCATTTGTAAACAACTGTGTCATGAAATTATCATATCTATATCTATATTTATATTTATCGTAGACTCACAGATGTACATATTTATAGCATTTACATAATACTTACTGTCATGTACATCCAATATATTGTACACGTACAAACACTGTCTATTTCACTGTATGAAATTTGAAATTGAATAAAAAGCTACAAAAGTATTATTCCTATTCTCATGCTTAATAATCAATAATATTAATGCATAACAGCTCAGAAAAATATATAAAATTAAAATTCAGAAAATTTCATAAATGATCTTGGAGCCGTCATGTCAAAGCAAGATGTCATAGGAATGAAAAGTTTTATACTGATGGTTATTCTGTAAACCTTCCAATTGGGATATTATCTTATTAAATTTTAGTATTTGAGGTAGGTATTGTTTAATTTTGATTATAAAATTCATTATATGAAAGTAAAGCTGTACTGGTAGATATGGAGCATTTACAAGGTAACATTTATGAATTGATAGTTCTAATAACAATTTCTTTTCTTTTTAACGTGCAGACTTGATCCATCAGATCTTCAAGGTGGTTTTAGAAACTTATACAATGATCTAGCATCTTCAGAACAAGTTCAAGAGTTCTTGAAAGAAGCCAAAGATTATGAAGTAAGTGTTTATCTGCTCCACTATGAATATGATAAATTCACCATAAATCCAGAATTGTTGCAATGTTTTTTTATGATTGTGAAGAATGTGACAATATGAGGTTTGCAATAATAAAAACTAGCATTTATAATTTCAGTTGTTATGTTCCTTGATAAAATTTTTGAAATTGCATTTATTAGATTTCACATTTTGCCAGCAGTCAAAGATTTGCAATTAAATGCACCAATAAATTACAGTAAATACTAGTGGTGCTTGTCTTAAATGTATGATTTTTACATTCTGATTTGATTTATTTTTGTATTTTAGTCCATTTCTCAGAAACCTATGTTAAAATATTTATGATAATAACCACTTTAATCCTCTCATACAGTACAACTCAATTCAGTAATAAATGGTTTAAATTACTGTGGTCTACATTTCATGCTTGAGTGACTTTAGTTAAGCTTCTGAATTAGGTTCACTTCTTATAAATGAAAGGGTAATATTTCACCACTTCAGTCCTCTTTAATATTACAATATTTCAATAGACCCTTTGGGACATTATTACCTACATGTCATAAATATCTGTTGTGTGCATGTACATCAGTTTCACATAATCTTTTGAGTTATATATTGGTGATATTTTACAACTTTTTTACACCTGCTGTACAGTAACATTGTGTTACTGTGATCACCATTTCAAATATACCTATTTCAAGTCTGTCCTTAACTGAAGAAAATAAAACAATTTCCTGTAATTTTGTAGTGTACCGACTGAAAACTTTTGATATCACAGATCACACGTCATTTGGCCTATTGGCGCAAAATAGAAATCTGACACAGTAAAATACCAAAATTCATAACTGTTGATTAGATATATATGTCAGAATTTTGAAGTGTTATAAAGAGTATCTATGTCTTACAGACTCATTCTGTTGTTTGTTTTATGGTGGTTTTCACATAGCAACTTTTAATCCTTTTTTGTTTGAATATCAACAACTTACTAGCATCAATATTTTTACATAATTATCCAATAACTTTAAATTCTTCTAAATTCCATTATAAAAAATAATTTGGAATTTTGTAGTTATATCTATTTAAAGAAGTTTAATGTTTAATTTACAGAATCAAGTGAGATCAGGCAATTTACAACCAAGCCAAATAATGGATGATGACATCACTACAGGAATCAAATCTACCATGAAAGCTTTAGGACAGAATAGTCCCACTACAATGTCTTCTTTGTGGACAGTAGATATTGTCAGTGATGCTGATGGAGGTTTGTAGATCATTAAGAGCGTACAAAATGTCTTCTTCCCGAACCAGTAATTGTGAAAGAAATAAAACATTTCCCCAGTTTGAGTAGCTTTACCTGTGTTATTTAAATATTTGGACAATGCACTGTCATATTGAAAGAATAGAATAGGTTGTTCTCAATAGAGTTTATTCACTGGGACGTTTAAATTTCTTTTAAGAGAAATCAATCATTTATTAATTTACCTGAAGAAGAAAAATCATCTACGAAATAGATGAAGATACATGTATCAACTCACAAAACTGATTTAATCATAAAAAGTTAATTTCTGACAAAATTTTTTAGCATTGAATCTATGAAAATTTGAGTTTTTTTTAAGTTATTGTTGAGTTTGTTACTATTTGTTGTAGCTAAAGCAGACATGTTTTCAACAGCTTCCAATATTGTAGGACTGATATAAAATATTAATATTATTAAATGCTTTATATAATACAGGAACATTTTAATTTTTATTGTAGCTAAAGCTATAACAGACATGTTGTCAACAGCAACAGATATTGTAGGGCGTGCTGATCAAGTATTTATAGTAGGGAAAGGCCTGTCTAATGCAGGAGTAAAAATGTTAGGAGAGAAACTGGCCAAGATGACCATTGGTGAAATTAAAGCAATGTTAGATCTTAGAAATCTTGACCCAGTTGTTATTATAAAATTGTTTGGTCAACTTAAAGATTTAGCCAAAGCTTTGGTGAGTCTTTTTAAGCAGTTATCTTTTGATAATGTTTCATACATAGATTGTTTATTTGTATTGACAATGATTTTTATGATGATGGATAGCTGTTTTACTTCCAGTGACAAATTAACTGCATATTTAGGTCAAGGACATGTTAATTTGAAATAATTATCAATTCTGCTTTGTACTAGACAGACATGCTCAGCAGGATTTTTAATGTGCCAGTTTAAAAAGTAGCATGAAGACAAGTCACCCTATCCTTAATCATACCAATCTTTGCTCATACTCTTTAATGCTACATGCTAAGTGGAAAAGCAGAAAATAACAATTTATCATTGGATTTCCGAAGGAAAATATCAGTTATTAATTTGGTGATGTACAGCTGGCAGGCCGCCAAACAGTGTACGTTCAATAACTTGATAACACTTTGACGAAATATTTTTCAAATTTAGATATTTTGTTTCCTATGACTAAATGAAGGTTAAGTTGATTTTTACAATTTTATCTTTTATCGTTTTTGAGTTGTAGACCTTTAAGTAGTGAAAAGTGATACTTGCAGCATTGTCCTTGCAATAACTTGAAAAGGCTGTGATGAAATCTTTTCAAATTTAGATATGTTGTTTCCTGTGACTAAAAGAAGGTCAAATTTGATTTTCATGATTTTAGCTTTTATTGTTGGAGAGTTGTAGACCTTAAAATAGGGAAAAGTGATACTTAGAGCCTTGTCCGTGCAATAACTTGAAAAGAAGCTGAACAAACGTGTTTGTACTGATATACTCTCTTAAATTTCATTATTATGTCACTAATGATAAATGAAGGTCAAGATTGATTTTTGCCTTTCCATTTCTAAACCCTACAAAAATTCATTAATTTTTTTACTTGATCCTGTTTGGGGGTCCAAATTTGCAAATATCATTTTCATGCAGGAAAATCTGGTTTGCTATCAATCTGACAGCCTCTTGTTAAGACTAAGGTTTGACCAGTCTGGGATTTAACAGACAAACCTATCTCATTCAAGGTGCTCACCACCAAGGCAGTTAACTACATTTTCAGCATGATCAGAAAATTGAAATCGAGGAAAACAATTTCTTTTGTAAACAAAAATATTCAATCAGTAATTTTATAATTCCTTACATTTGTAAAGTTGATTTATAAAACTTTTGATAGAATGAAACATTGTTAATGAAATCGTTTTAGATTATATAGTTAAGATTTGTTGCTTTTTAAATTATTCTTTCATTTACAGCTATCAGAGTTCATCAACAAATTGCTAGGAGATCCAACAAATATCTTCAAACGTACTGACATTATAGTAAAGGGAGATGTTAGTTTTCCTAGAACAAACGTTGTAATTGTCCGACCAGTTTCTCATGATATACCAGTTGGCCCACTTATTCTCAGACTTGGTAAGTATACATGAAGACTAATTTGACTTTAAAACGAGTAATTAAGAGACATTAATTTTACCGCTTGTACATCATAACTTGTCCTGAAAAATATGAGATTAAAAACTAGTTGTTGTCTCACCTGCGACGAATGTCGTAGTAGGTATTACAGTCCGGTGACAGCTTAAACTATTTGTATAAAGCTTTATGTTTCAGAAGGTAGAAGACCTGGATGCTTCATACCTTGTATGCAGATACCTTATGTTACCAGGTTTCCGTCTGTCATTTGTCCATTGTCCTTGACCTCATAGTTCTTTTGTTATGTAATACTCACTTATTATGAGTAATAGGATAACTATATTTTGTATATGGGTTCCTTGTAACGTCTAGGGTTCACCCGACTTCAACCTTATTCCATGGATCAGTGACCCAGGTTGAAGTTACCTGGTTAAGTCCGTTTCTCAGATACTGTAAGCAATAGGTCAACTATATTTGGTGTATGGATTGATTGTAAGGGGTACAAATCCGAATGACAGGTATCATCTGACCATGACCTCAATTTCATGGTACATTGAACAATGTTTAGTTTTTTTGATTTGGTCTAATTCTTAGATACTATAAGCAAAAGGTCAACTATATTTGGTGTATGGAAAAATTGTAAGGGGGACATGTCCACCCTACAGATTTCATCTTATCTTGACCTCAATTTCATGGTTCATTGAACAATGTTTAGTTTTTGTGGTTTGGTCTATTTCTCAGATACTATAAGCAAAAGGTCAACTATATTTGGTGTATGGAATATATGTAAGGGGGACATGTCCACCCTACAGATTTCATCTTATCTTGACCTCAATTTCATAGTTCATTGAACAATGTTTAGTTTTTGTGGTTTGGTCTATTTCTCAGATACTGTAAGCAATAGGTCAACTATATTTGGTGTATGGAATGATTGTAAGGGGTACAAATCTGACTGACAGGTTTCATCTGACCTTGACCTCAATTTCATGGTTCATTGAACAATGTTTAGTTTTTGTTGTAAGCGACTTCTGTTGCAGAAAGCTCAACATAGGGATAGTGATCTGGCGGCTGCGTTAATTACTTCTTAAAAGCTTTATATTTTAGAAGGTGGAAGACCTGGATGCTTCATACTTTGTATATAGATGCCTTATGTTATGAAGTTTCCGTCTGTCATATGTCCATGGTCCTTGACCTCATTTCCATGGTTCAGTGACTACTTGAAAAAAAAAGTGCAGATTTTTTGTGATGTTAATTTCTCTCTTACTATGAGTAATAGGATAACTGTATTTAGTATATGCGTACCTTGCAAGGTCCTCATGCCTGTCAGACAGTTTTCATCTGACCTCGACCTCATTTCATGGATCAGTGAACAAGGTTAAGTTTTCGTGGTCAAGTCCATATATTAGATACTATAACAATAGGTCTACTATATTTGGTGTATGGAATGATTGTAAGGTGTTCATGTCCAACTGGCAGGTGTCATCTCACCTTGACCTCATTTTCATGGTTCAGTGGTCAAAATTAAGTTTTTAAGTTTTGGTCCTTTTTTCTTATACTATATGCAATAGGTGAACTATATTTGATGTATGGAAATATTTTAGGACGTACATGTCTGTCTCGCAGGTTTTATCTGACCTTGACATGATTTTCACGGTTCATTGCTCAGTGTTAAGTTTTTGTTTTTTGGTCTGTTTTTCTTAAACTATAAGCAATAGGTCAACTATATTTGGTGTATGGAATGATTGTAAGGTGTATATGTCTGTCTGGCAGGTATCATCTGACCTTGACCTCATTTTCATGGTTCATTGGTCAATGTTAAATTTTCATGGTTATGTTTGTTTCTTAGATACTATAAACAATAGGTCAACTATATTTAATGCAAAGATTGATTGTAAGGTGTACTTTTATTTCTGGTTTAGTTTATCTGACCTTGAACTCATTTTCTTGGATGATGTTAAGTTTATGTGATACTTGTAGTAAAGCTTTATATTTAGGGCTATCAACATAAAATTAATGGTCAGTAAAGCAGGCGAGATATTTCAGCGTGTGCACTCTTGTTATGATTTGGTCTATTTCTCAGATACTATAAGCAAAAGGTCAACTATATTTGGTGTATGGAATAATTGTAAGGGGAACATGTCCAACTGGCAGGTGTCATCTGACCTTGACCTCATTTTCATGGTTCAGTTGTCAAAGTTAAGTTTTTTAGTTTTGGTCTATTTCACAGATATTATGAATAATAAGTCAATAATATTTATTGTATGGATTAATTGTGAGGTGTCTGGCAGGGTTCATATGAACTTGACCTCATTTTCATGGTTCATTGGTCAATTAAAATTTCATAATTTTGTCAGTTTATCAGATACTATAAGCAATAAGGCAACTATATTTGGTGTATAGAATGATAGTAAGGTGTACATGTCTGTTTGGTAGGGTTCATATGACCTTGACCTCATTTTCCTGGTTGATTTGTCCATGTCACGTTTATGTGATACTTGTAGTAAAACCTACATATTAAAGACTTTCAACATAAATTCAGTGATAAGTAAAACAGGCAAGACATTTCAGCGTGTGCACTCTTGTTTGGTTTTTTGAGAAATATCAGATGAATAACAAGTTTTCAGAACCTATAAATTGTACAATATTTTGATATAACTCAAACTAGTTGTGAATAATAATGGAATCATTTGCAATGTCTCCAGTAAGATCATAGAGTTGATTAAATATATTTAGAGGAGTTATGTCCCTTTGTTTAAGGTCATACAATACAGTAATAAGGGCAGATAATAATGCATCCAAATTTAATGTGTTGTTTTCACAACTTTACGCATACAAAACTCACAGAAAAATCACTATAGTCATTAAATCAGTTACGTGAATTTGAAAGTAATTGCAATGGAAAACAAATATATAGTACATGTATATGTAAGCACACAAAATCTACTGCAGGGGTATACAATTTGAGGTAAAACAAAGACTGTTTACTTTTCTATTATTAATGAATTAGTATATGACAGTAATTCCTATTTTCACAAATTACTAAGATGTATTATTTTATGTAAAAGAAACTTATAATGTTCAACATGTGAAAAATGTATATTTAAGTCAAAACAGCAATGTTCATGACAAGAAGTTCTAATTAAAACTGGAAATAGATAGATAACCAGAATAAGAAAAATAAGTATGCGAACCTGTGTCTTGTAAACATAACGTTATCTTTGTCCATTTACCTGGGTTCGCCAATAAGGTTTTTTCTGCCATCTAACAGAAGTGTCAATTTAATTTTTCTTGAATGAGTTCTATTAAGCTCTATAAATAACTAATAAAAACACCTAGACAGGGTAATCAAGACAAAAAGAATGAAAATAATAATAACCAGTCGAGATAAATGGAAAAACTGAGGCAGAGAAAGACGGGGAATATGAAAATAAATGTAAACAAGAATTCCAGAAGTCATGCCTAACTGTTTCCCCTGGATCTCCAGCGAATAAATTTCTGGATATAAATTAAATTTCTGTACAATTTGTGGGAATCACTAACAACTTATTTGTTGACAAACTAATAGATAGAAGGGATTCTTAATGATCTATTATTTAGTTTTCATTTCTTCACTAGTTTCCAAACTACATGTACCTATACTGGCTAGCATTTTAAAAACATAGCAGAATTGCCCTCTAAATGTCTTTTGGTTGTTTTGCTGTGGGGTTTCCGTCTCATTGAACAAAATTAGAATAGTCCAAGATTTACCTTAAATTACAGCATCCACTACATAGATGACATTTTCACTGTCTATTCCATCGAACCAATGACTAAAGGAAACCTTAGGTAGAGCTTGCTCATCACCTTGACTTACATATAGAAATTGACTTCCAAAACTAAACTATGATAAACAGAAGACTGACTATATGTACAAAATGCTGATGCATTACATACAAAGATCAAAATAGGATTATATTTTGAATAATAATACATTTTTTTTCTTGTGATTAATAATTTGCAGAATTTGGAGCTTTTGGTTATTATGGCATGGCATTTGAAGTTGGTGTAAAAGTTTTGGGTATGACTGGATTCGCTACTATAGTCCCTTATGCTGGAGCAAAAGCTTATGGTTCAGTTGCAATTTGTTTCTATGTATTGTGCGGTAAATTACAGTTAGATGGTTACATAATGGATACCAGATTTCCTTCAACTGCAGAAATAGCTTTCAATAAATTTCCACTTGATGTTGGGTAAGTGGATAATTTCTTTTTTATGATTCTTTAAGTTTGAACTCAACTCCTTTATAACCGTTTGATAGAAAGTCTCATACTTGGTAGGATTGTTTGCCATTATATATAGTTGATCATACTATACTGTAATTTTGATTTGACCTTTTTTATGGCAGATCTGAGACTTTCACTATTTTCTTACAATCCTACCAAAATGACTCATTGTAAAAGCAACTCCCCTGAGTTCATTTGACAGAAAGCTCCCATACTTGCTTGCTACCATATGTTATTGAATACAGTCATGGCAAACAATCCTACTAAATGTGACAACTTTCTATCAAACAGTCTTAAAGGAGTTGAGTTCACAAGGTATCATTGTTGTAGAATAGTCCAAAATATGGTCATAGTCCTATTACTCCCCAAAAATTGTCAAATCAAGTTGAAGTCACAAACTTATTGTAATGTCATTTTAATTCCACCATTTAATGGGAAAAATGCAATTTGACATTTTTTCAACTATTGTACAATTATCATCACACTATGTTCTGCTTATTGAATTACAGGCACAAATACAATGACTCGAAATACACTTTATAATGTAATCAATATTCCTTTCTATACTGTACAGACAATTTTTTTATTCCACATTTACACAGCGTAGCAGTCTCAATGACTTTAAAATTGAAAAATACATATAATTTCTGAAAATGTTAATTCAATTGATGTATAATGCATTCAAATATATTCTAATTATTAACAGTTTGTCTATGTATCTGGAACTGAGACCATTAGAGCTGAAGCTGACAGCTAAAGTTACATTAGAAGTCAGACTACCATGGGGAATTAGGTTTACAAAGACTTTATTTAGTGGTACATTATGGCGGTACAGAGCTCCAAGCATTAATAAAAAGATAATTGATAACAGAAAGAAAGAGGAAGATGCTTCACCACCTCAACTATCACCTGTTACAGATTCTGGTGGCAATGGAAAGGTAAACGTCTACTTAGAAATAATTTTACTTTTCCCATGATGCAATCATAGTTCTTACTTCTTTTAGTTCATATATCTTCATTGTAAAGTTTTTTATGCTCCCGGTGTCACCGTAGGGGGCATTAAGTGTTACCCTTGTCTGTCTGTCTGTATGTTCATCCATCCATCTGTACGTACATCCCAAAATTTGTTTCCGTTCCATAACTTTAGTTTGCCTCAACCAAATGTTATGAAACTTATACACAATGCTTATTGCCACAAAACACAGATCAATTTTGAATTTTGGTGGCGTCACTTTTACCGTTCTAGAGTTATGCCCCCTTTGTAACCTTATATGCAAGCGGGGGCATCATCTGTGTCCCATGGACACATTCTCCATTTATTTTAGTGATTATTGCATATTTGAATGAGCAAAACAATGTGTTCATAGAATTTAATGGATGTTGAAATGTTGGTGAAAATCAAACAATGTATTGTAGAAAAAAAGATCAACAGCTTCCTGTTATGTTAAACAAACACCAAACTTAGATTACACAGAACCAGAGTTTGAAATCTCTATCCGAGCTGAAGATGATAGAAGTCAGGTAAAGCTTTACCTAAATGTAGGTACTGTACCAGGAGGGTCTGATGTTCTACATGAATATGAACTTGGAGGACCATCAACAGTTATTAAAGAGGTGGGTTTAATGATTCCTTTTCAGTTTGTTACCAGAGGTTGCTTCAATAAGGCTGTAGTAACTGGAGGTTATTTTACCTTCTGATTCATTCAAATATATTCTCTTGCTTTCTGGTAGAATATATTGTTCAGTTATGGATTGAAATTAAGGGCACTGTCATCAGGATAAAAACAATACAGAAAATTGCGCCTGAAGTACAAAATCCGGTATGCATGAACAAAATCACAATGTAACCATGGTGAGTATGAATAGAAAGTGAATGTATACAAGTATGGAAGTAAACTTGAACAAGAATGTTGAGTAAAATGTGAATGTCATTGAAATTAAAATGTTTGTTGATATTATTCTGCCAAAGTCTATTACTTGCTAATAAATATGGATATGTGTTTGTCATCTTGCATAATGGAATCAAAATGTATAATAATTTATTGTCAGGCAGTGTACAGTTTGTGTTTTACCCAAATATGAACGGAACTTGACTTGCAATTCCATTTCGACTGGCTTCTCTTGGCAAGAGGTACTACTTCCAATCGCGTCGGGAATACTGTGAAGTGTATGGCCGCTGCTGGTTTAGAAAATGTTTATTTCACAAGTTAAAATAAATTTTAATTGCACAATAGTTCATTTAAAATCAAATCGGGAATGTGTCAGGTACTGGTTGTTGTATATTTCGTTCGGAATATTTAGGGATCACACATCTTTGTTTCACATCGAGTTGAATAAACCTGTTTGGTTTACAGGGAATCAATGCTGTTGAAACATTCAATTAACAATACTTTGTAGAGAGAAATAATCCTATCTTCTATTTCCTTTTGGGCTCTTTCTTGATTATGGGTGTTGATCGTCATTCCTTTATTAAAGCTGATTGAATAATCCGATAATGTAGCACTGGGGGAGGGTTCCCGCGGGTGTCTCAACAAAGTCTTCTTTCGTTCATGTATGCAATGGCTAAATTAGTTAGCGCTGGTTGCAACTGCGGTTCCTTTACAGATGCAGGGGTTCACGATAAAAATTAAAAAATTACAAACGAAAGTGAACCAAGTTCAACCAACGCCTGGTAAATCTTCAGAACGATAGAATCCCTTTAGTGGATACCTCGGGTATGCAGGGTTGTTATGATAAAAAACACAAAATGTGAAAGCAGTTACAACAACAACACTTTAGGGATTGCTGCAGTAATTTAATTAGATCGACATGTTTCGATGCATAGGGCACTGTCATCAGGATAAAAACAATACAGAAAATTGCGCCTGAATTACAAAATCGGGTATGCATGAGTTACGTCACAATGTAACCATGGAGAGTATAAATAGAAAGTGAAAGTATACATGTATGGAGGTAAACTTGAACAAGAATGTTGAATAAAATGTGAATGTAATTGAAATTAAACTGTTTGTTGATATTATTCTGCTATAGTCTGTTACTTGCTAATAAAAAAAACTTAAAAGTTTTGTTTAAGCTATATTTTGGATTGATGAAAAAGTTCTTATGGTCTTTGCATTGGTATTCAGTTGTTCTTGAAACATAAGCATGATTGATATCAATATTTCAGTCTTTCATAGGTTTCTTTGAAATAATAGTTTGGGTTTCTCTTGAAAACTTGACCAAGATCAAGTTACTAATTTGTATAAATGTGAATTATAATAATACAATATTTCAGCCATTAATCAGTAAAGGAACTGGAGTTCCAATCTACTTCACCTTGATAGCAGAAAACAGCTCGGGTCAAAGGTCAGAAGCATTTTGTAGTTTACCAACTTATGATGTGACTGTACCTGGTGGAAGATTTCAGGAGGAATTTATGTCTACAAGTAATCCTGAGGTACTAAGGGCCTATGTGACGGTGTATGAGGACTCTGAACTTCAGACTGTACAAGTTGGAGCAGGATATGGGAAAGGAATCTATGGAGATCAGATGGTTCCCTGGGATGATGTTGACCTTGACCATATTCAGATAAATGACAATTTAGGTATATTTGCCTTTGGTGTTTTTGCTCCTGGGAGAAATGTCCCAGTTGACTGACTTTTATGAAATATAAGGTTCTATTTTATATTTCTGATGATCCATATTAGTTGAATTTTCCTACAAAGTACATTATGATTTGTTTAGTTTCATCATATTAGTAACACTATATACCTATGAACAATATTTCTGTCAGGTTTACAATATTATTTTGTATCATAATAAACATTTTTTCTATGCAGATTTCCCCTGATTCAGGGTTTTAGCTTGATTCACAGAAGCCTAACTGCAGAAACTACATATTTCTGTATCAGTTAAATAACATCTAACATATATAATGTTTTAATAAAACATGCCAAATGGCAGAACACATGAAGTTAGTATGAAGTACAGCAAATGTGTAAGTGCTTACAATATTGAGGATTTATTGCACATAAGTCCCAATGTTTTCACAATATCTTTTTTTCTCTTTGTAGGGTCAGATACTTTTAATAAAAAGGTTTTAGACCAATTGTTTACTGAGTCAATAGCTGGAAGATTGATTGCACCGAAATCAGCACCAGATACAATAAAATATAGCCCTGGAGATTGTGCCAGGGCCTGTGCAGATTTACCACGTACTAAGTGTATGAGTTTTAATTATGACTTTGGTAAAGGAGTATGTGAACTTATGGAAGCCATTGAGGGACATCGCTACTCAAGGTCCAAGTCTGGATTGTTTGAACATTATGAAAGACTTGGTATTGGCAAATCCAAACAGTTTGTTTATGAAAATCTACAACTCCTCCATAATAAAACATACTACTTTAATCTGAGACTGGTCAATGTTTTAGGATATGATAGTATAATCAACACACAAGCAGTCATTGTAGATACAACTACTCCTGAAACAGGTACAGTGTATACATAATAAATCATACTATTTCAACCTGAGACTGGTCAATGTTCTAGGATATGAAAGTATAATCAACACACAAGGAGTCATTGTAGATACAACTACTCCTGAAACAGGTACAGTGTATACATAATAAAACATACTACTTCAATCTGAGACTAGGATATGATAGTGTAATCACCACACAAGGAGTCATTGTAGATACAACTACTCCTGAAACCGGTACAGTGTATACATAATAAAACATACTATTTCAATCTGAGACTAGGATATGATAGTGTAATCACCATACAGGGAGTCATTGTAGATACAACTACTCCTGAAACAGGTACAGTGTATACATAATAAATCATACTACTTCAACCTAAGACTGGTCAATGTTCTAGAATATGATAGTATAATCACCACACAAGGAGTCATTGTAAATACAACTACCCCTGAAACAGGTACAGTGTATACATAATAAATCATACTACTTCAATCTGAGACACACAAGGAGTCATTGTAGATACAACTACCCCTGAAACAGGTTCAGTGTATATTTTAGCGGCAATAAGTAAAGTAGGCATTACGCTTAAATCCTAGGCATTAAGTTATTGCCTGTAATTTTCAGGCATTAAACATATTTCCTGAAATTTGATGATGACTATCCAACCTATTGCCAAACATCATTTCAGGCAATAAGTGAACTTTAGGATTTTGGTTTATCTTCCATGTAAATGTACATTGTGTGAAATATTCTTCATGTAAAGAATCGTCTATATTATGTTCCAAATATTAATATACATTAATTTAACAAATCTTCAAATTTGAATATTTTTTCATATTCATAACAGAATTTACTTGTATTTATTTGTGGTTTTACAAAAATTGATATGTTTCAAACAAGTGATTGTATCTAATGAAAATTATTTGAAGAAAATTCACTCTTTAATGGTTGAGCTGGTTTTGTTCTGGTCAAAAGTAGAAAACTATAGATATGAATTTTTACACACATCATCCTTCCATTGAACTGTTTCTTTCACTTTGAGAAAATAATAACATGAAGAAAAAATATTTAGGGAACGGAGAAGTAGTGAAACCCATTTTATCCAAAGAGTTCAGCATTAGAGGACATACTGACTGAATAGATTTCCAATCAAACCCAGATGGAAACTATAAATTTCTATAAAATCACCTAACAAACGCTTAGAGTTCTCACGTCAAAATTTGCTTCAGAGGTGACTTTTGAGTTAATTGATGTTTTCACAATTGTTGCGCTCCATAAACTGCAAAGTGACAATCGTCGTGAATTAACAGCTCAAATTATATCCGAGTTAAAACTAAAGTCGCCAGAACTAGTGACTTTATTTCAGGAATTTGACAATTTAATCTTAAGTTCTTATCATGGTATTATGTACCAAACGTATTTTAACTTTGAATAAATAACTTTTTATTTACTGGCATTTACATTTTTGGTATTAAGATTAATACCTGGACACATTTTTCAGGATTTAAATCCTAGGATTTAAGAGTAATGCCTAACATCATTTAGGCAATTGACTTACTGCCTATGCGTTAGCTTATTGCCTAGGATTTAAACTTAATGCCTAATTTCACCTATTGCCGCTAACATATACATAGTAAATCATACTACGTACTTCAACCTGAGACTGGTCAATGTTCTAGGATATGATAGTATAATCAACACACAAGGAGTCATTGTAAATACAACTACTCCTGAAACAGGTACAGTGTATACATAATAAATCGTATTACTTCAGTCTGAGACTGGTCAATGTTCTAGGATATGATAGTATAATCACCACACAAGGAGTCTTTGTAGATACAACTACTTCTGAAACAGGTACAGTGTATACATTATAAATCATACTATTTCAACCTGAGACTGGTCAATGTTCTAGGATATGATAGTATAATCAACACACAAGGAGTCATTGTAGATACAACTACCCCTTAAACAGGTACAGTGTATACATAATAAATCATACTACTTCAACCTGAGACTGGTCAATGTTCTATGATATGATAGTATAATCAACACACAAGGAGTCATTGTAAATACAACTACCCCTGAAACAGGTTCAGTGTATATTTTAGCGGCAATAAGTAAAGTAGGCATTACGCTTAAATCCTAGGCATTAAGTTATTGCCTGTAATTTTCAGGCATTAAACATATTTCCTGAAATTTGATGATGACTATCCAACCTATTGCCAAACATCATTTCAGGCAATAAGTGAACTTTAGGATTTTGGTTTATCTTCCATGTAAATGTACATTGTGTGAAATATTCTTCATGTAAAGAATCGTCTATATTATGTTCCAAATATTAATATACATTAATTTAACAAATCTTCAAATTTGAATATTTTTTCATATTCATAACAGAATTTACTTGTATTTATTTGTGGTTTTACAAAAATTGATATGTTTCAAACAAGTGATTGTATCTAATGAAAATTATTTGAAGAAAATTCACTCTTTAATGGTTGAGCTGGTTTTGTTCTGGTCAAAAGTAGAAAACTATAGATATGAATTTTTACACACATCATCCTTCCATTGAACTGTTATTTTCACTTTGAGAAAATAATAACATGAAGAAAAAATATTTAGGGAACGGAGAAGTAGTGAAACCCATTTTATCCAAAGAGTTCAGCATTAGAGGACATACTGACTGAATAGATTTCCAATCAAACCCAGATGGAAACTATAAATTTCTATAAAATCACCTAACAAACGCTTAGAGTTCTCACGTCAAAATTTGCTTCAGAGGTGACTTTTGAGTTAATTGATGTTTTCACAATTGTTGCGCTCCATAAACTGCAAAGTGACAATCGTCGTGAATTAACAGCTCAAATTATATCCGAGTTAAAACTAAAGTCGCCAGAACTAGTGACTTTATTTCAGGAATTTGACAATTTAATCTTAAGTTCTTATCATGGTATTATGTACCAAACGTATTTTAACTTTGAATAAATAACTTTTTATTTACTGGCATTTACATTTTTGGTATTAAGATTAATACCTGGACACATTTTTCAGGATTTAAATCCTAGGATTTAAGAGTAATGCCTAACATCATTTAGGCAATTGACTTACTGCCTATGCGTTAGCTTATTGCCTAGGATTTAAACTTAATGCCTAATTTCACCTATTGCCGCTAACATATACATAATAAATCATACTACGTACTTCAACCTGAGACTGGTCAATGTTCTAGGATATGATAGTATAATCAACACACAAGGAGTCATTGTAAATACAACTACTCCTGAAACAGGTACAGTGTATACATAATAAATCGTATTACTTCAGTCTGAGACTGGTCAATGTTCTAGGATATGATAGTATAATCACCACACAAGGAGTCTTTGTAGATACAACTACTTCTGAAACAGGTACAGTGTATACATTATAAATCATACTATTTCAACCTGAGACTGGTCAATGTTCTAGGATATGATAGTATAATCAACACACAAGGAGTCATTGTAGATACAACTACCCCTTAAACAGGTACAGTGTATACATAATAAATCATACTACTTCAACCTGAGACTGGTCAATGTTCTATGGTATGATAGTATAATCACCACACAAGGAGTCATTGTAGATACAACTACCCCTGAAACAGGTACAGTGTATTCATGATAAAACATACTACTTCAATCTGAGACTAGGATATGATAGTATAATCACCACAAAGGAGTCATTGTAGATACAACTACTTCTGAAACAGGTACAGTGTATACATTATAAATCATACTATTTCAACCTGAGACTGGTCAATATTCTAGGATATGATAGTATAATCAACACACAAGGAGTCATTGTAGATACAACTACCCCTGAAACAGGTACAGTGTATACATAATAAATCGTATTACTTCAGTCTGAGACTGGTCAATGTTCTAGGATATGATAGTATAATCAACACACAAGGAGTCATTGTAGATACAACTACCCCTGGAACAGGTACAGTGTATACATAATAAATCATACTACTTCAATCTGAGACTGGTCAATGTTCTAGGATATGATAGACTAGTATAATCACCACACAAGGAGTCATTGTAGATACAACTACTCACGAAACAGGTACAGTGTATACATAATAAATCATACTATTTCAACCTGAGACTGGTCAATGTTCTAGGATATGATAGTATAATCACCACACAAGGAGTCATTGTAGATACAACTACCCCTGAAACAGGTTGATATCAGAATTTCATAAAAATTAAAATATATACTATATGAAACAATCATTTAGTGTCCGGTTCATTTAAACAATGAGTTTGGTTGTGACATTCCCTTTCAAGTTAATTTGAACATTCCAATTTTTTTTTGTACTTTTTTGTTTAATTTACTGATTTTTTATTTTGAATGTAAAAAAAAAAAATCTTTTAATATTTACACCCCCCAAAAAAAACATGATTTTTATGCCCCCGCCATAACAGGCATTAAGTTTTACCCTCACCTCAAAATACAGATCGAATTTGAATTTTGGTGGTGTCACTTTCACCTTTCTAAAGTTATGCCCCTTTAGAAATGGAAAAATTGCTGAATTTTTCGTTTCCATTCTCTAACTTAAGTTTGCCACAATCAAATGTTATGATACTTATACACAATACTTATTACCACGTAATACAGATTAAGTTTGAATGTTTGAAGGCATCACTTGAAATGGTCTAGAGTTATGCCCCTTTACAGATGGAATAATTGCTGAATTTTTGGTTCAGTTCTCTAACTTATTTTTGCCTCAACCAAATGTTATGATACTTATACATACTACTTATTACTACAAAACTCAGATCAAGTAAAAATTTGGGTAGCATCACTTTTACTTTTCTTCAGTTGTGTCCTTTTATAACTTTATATGATATGCTAGCGGGGGTATCATCTGTGTCCCATGGACACATTCCCCATTTAATTTTGTTGTGAATTTACCTTAATTTCATTATTACAAGATCAGACTTGATTTATGCCTTAACATGTCATATATGGGCAATGGAACATCTGAAATAGTAGGTCCAATAATGAACTTGAAATTATGATCATTAACTGAAATGTACAGCCAACCATTTCACACTTTCACAGTCTACAAATAGATGTCTTACCCCATGTGATTTGTTTAATTGATATAGTAATTTCCTCCATCAGAAGTTTAAATCTCTGTCATTGGTTAAACTGGTGAACACATTACAAACATGGTATGTCAGTTGAGAATTATGTGGCTCCAACATGGTCAAATCTGATCTGTGACCTTGGGGGTTTAGCTAGCAACCTTTGGATTTGACATCTCATTTAATAAAACCTGTGACCTATGAAATGTTCAAAACTGAGAATCAGATATTTTAGAACTGTAAAGTTTGCTCAAAAGTGACCTGAGCTGAGGCAATTTTGAAAGGTGACTTGGCGACCTTAGGAGATACCCACTTGAGGTCCACTAATAATAGAGTAAAACACTTACAAATATGTTATAGAATTATTATTAAAGAAGAACAAAATTTTGGAAAGTAAAAGATTTTTGGCCTGAAATAATTTTGTAAGTTCTAAACTTGGGTCAATGGTTTGTAAAACTGAAAAAATCATAAAAAGTATAAAGAGAAAATTGGAAAAGAAATATTTTATTTATAGTTTATAGTAGCATCTTAACCTGAATCTAAGTAATGTAAATGCAGTCAAACATGTTATTCCTTATGCTTGACTATAGAGACAAATGTTGAAAAATGAGGTACTACTGATAAAGTTTGAAAGTATGGAGAAATACTAATTATGCAAAACATACAAAAAAATTTTTGGAGATTGTATTGTGACAATCGATTAACTTTTTAAAATCAACAAAATTTTGAAGGCTTTGTTTCCAATAAGACTGCTGATTACCTTGAAATACTTCCATGTTTGGATTTAATACCTGGAGACAGACCTGACTGGAAGTTACTCTGTAAAGGGGTACATCCTAAAACTCAGAATCAAAGGTAGGTAATTGTTACAGCAGTTATAGAAGATTATATACAGTTGAATTTGACGATTTGTTTTGATTCGTATTCAATTTTTACACTGAATTGAAATTGCAAAGTAAAAAAATACAAAGAAAATGCACATAAAAATGATTGCCATTACCTATTTCAAAAGATATAAAAAAGACAAATTTATATTTCAATGCAATGTCAATTGTAATAGGAGGGGTTCGATTGGATAAGGTTTGCAAGGTTCTTATGACACGGCTTCAATGTATGATGCACTTTAAGCTTGACGAATGCCCAGTGATAGCTCAACTCACTAATCTCAAACGGGTATGCTGTTGATAACTTGTATTCTATATATTTACTCTGTATTTTTAAAGGTGTTCTCTATTCAAGACTTCTATTTTTATACTGTTTGTTTTATTTGTACTCTATCTGGAGCTAAAAGAGACTTAATGCTGTTTCAACAATAAACTTTTATTAACAAAAAACAACAAGGCAAGCAAATTCAACAAGTGTAAACTTGTTTCAAAAATGTAGACGAAAATGTATCAAAAGTAAATGGGGAGTATAATTTAGCAATGTAAACTATTATCACAAAAAGAGGGGTGTCAAGGAGCAAATTAGACTAAATAGTTTTACCCTAAATAAAAATGGATAAATCTAATAATTGAGCATTTAGAACAGACCAGGTTAACTTACCAGCAGAGTGGAAAGCTTCACCATATCAGACAGGAAACCTGTCTTTAGACAAATTTAAAAATAACCCGGCAATCGCAATATATCTATGTGAAAGTTTATAAAAGAAGATATGATATGAAATTTGGAAGTACAACAACTTATTAATAAATTATAACAAATTACTCCTGAATAACTAAAAGATTTCAATTATAGATGATCTTATTATAAAATTCAAAATATAAAACTGAATATATGATAAAGTAATTAATTAAAAAAGTAGTTAAACATTTGTCATGGAGCATAACTCCGTTTTCCTACACAATTAATAATTTCACTTGATATTCATATAAAATTATGCAGATCCTAACCTTCAGAAATAACAGTTTTGAACATATATATTGTAGACTTGTAGTTGATGGACCTGGTTCCCGGACAGTATTCAATGGTCCTACACCAATGTTTGATCTGAAGTTCACCAGGGCAAATGCCTATATAGCTGGTATGTAATCAGTACATTCAAGCTAATGTTATGTGTAAGTTGATCAAGGATCAACAAGGTAAACATATGTCAATAATTACATTACATGTATTTTTCACAAAAAAATCTGTTAGTTTGATTGGCTAACAAGAGTCGTGCATCATTCAAAAATTAACCTTCATATCAAAATGAATGTTACATTCATGATGACACGTGCTTCCACAAAAAAGTACACAGGTAAGTAAAAGAAAACTTGATAAAACTTTTTTTCATGGTCTTATTAGCATAAAAATGTAATTATAAGAAATGAATGCTTCTTTTTGTAATTTTATTGGGGTGGAAAAGTGTTGATCGTGCACACATTTTTAGAATGAATCACTTCGGCACTTCATACAAAATGTGTCGTTCCGCCCTTCATACAAAATGTGTTTCATTCAACACTTTTACACCCCAATAAAATAACAAAAGAAGCATTCCTTTCTTAAGTATATCCAAGGAATGCCCTGTTGATTAATGGCAGTATGCATTGCTTAAATCAACTTTAAAACTTATTATAATTCATTGGGATCATTTTTCGAATGTCACCTCCTAACCTCACCTATAAACTCAACTAAAATATGCCAGTGAGATTTTATTCGACAAAAAAAGTAATTGAATAAACCTACATCGTTCAAGAGCACCAAAATCATAAGCAACAATAGACTCCAAATGTAAAATTTAGGCTTCATCTATGAAGACATAGACTAGAAAATTTCATTTGAATTAAATACAGTATTATCATATAAACATAACATCTGATGATCTTATTACTAAATATAAAAAAACGTTTACAAAAGCAAAAAAAAAAGCAACTCATAATGCAAGCCCATATAGAAATCTATGTGGAACTGTCTGATAATCTCAACAGCAGCCTATGTCACAATGGTCCCTTTTCTGGGACACCAGATTGTAACTTCCGTGCCAATCCTTTTCCAGTGTCAACCAACAAGACTGGATACACCCATATAAGGTATGGATACAGAGGCTTAACTAAATAAATTATTACATATATTATTCACATTTCTTCATGTGTCTTTTTATAGAATTATTTCATTTTAGCCAACTGGGATGGATTTATAGACAGAGAATCTGGAATCATGGGATATACCGTACTTATTGGCCTGACAGAATGTAAAGATGAGGTACATGCTGATCATGATCCTCATAAACATTTATTTGATATGTCCCAGTGGACATTCAGTGCTATGATAAGCCCTATACCAGCACCATACACCAAATTACCAGGTATTTATAATGATCACTTTAAACATTTGGTAGACTAATACTACTATGATAAATAAAGGCAACAGTAGTATACCGCTGTTCAAAATTCATAAATCGATTGAGAAAAAAACAAATCCGGGTTACAAACTAAAACTGAGGGAAACACAACATATAAAAGAGGAGAACTACGACACAACAGAAACACAACATTAAAATGTAACACACACAGAAACGAACTATAATATAACAATGGCCATTTTCCTGACTTGGTACAGGACATTTTAAGAAAAAAATGGTGGGTTGAACCTGGTTTTGTGGCTAGCCAAACCTCCGGCTTTTATGGCAATGTTAAAATGTGACAAGATTACATGACAGGACTACAATACAAATAAATGGGAGAACATATAGGACAGAGAAACATACGAATAATAGCTAACAAAAGGTACCAGGTTTAAAATTTAATACGCAAGACGCGATTTCCGTCCACACAAGACTAACCAGTGACGCTCAGATCAAAAAAAGGGTCGAAAGCCAAAACAAGTACAAAGTTGAAGAGCATTGAGTACCAAAATTCCAAAAAGTTGTGCCAAATACGGCTAAGGTTATATGTCTGGGATAAGAAAATCCTAAGTATTTAGAATAATTCATACTTTTGCAAACAGTAAATTATAAAAATGACTATATATTAGATATGCATGATAACTGTGAAGTGGTGACTAACTACAGAATAAAAACGGATACATAAAATAACACAAACCAGCACATAAAAATTCACAGCCGAGTTAGCCAAAGAGATCAACGCAAAAAAAAGGTGACGTCACATTTGAATTTCTGAAATTTCCCCAAAAATAGGATAGAATTAGGATAGAATTCAAGATTTGGTTTATAATACTAATATAACATATATTAATAACAATGAAAATTACAATACTAATTAATATAAAATGTGGTAGTAATTAGATAATTAATAGTATTATCTAGCTATGTCGGTGTTTCTTCTAAATCAAACTGTAAACCAAATATATCGTATAAATTTAGTTGACCCAAACTAAAATCTAATTAATGAACTGGGTGATTAATTATCTTTACCATAACACACGAATACAACAGAAAAAAATAAGATATACAACTACAAACGATAAGACATTTGACAAAATCTGATGAGAATAACAAATATAACATCAAAACTGAATACATGAATTTTGGATAGAAAAGTACCGTGACACGTCTTATAGCAATGCGAATTCACACTCAGCAAAACAGTCACAATCGGGAATAAGTCACGTTTGGTAATTAAAAGATCAGACGACGTAATGTCATACCACAATCTAACACGTGGTAAAAATGTCCTTAGTTAATTTGGACAAAGACACATCGTATGGATCAACCAATTCGTGATGGTGTCCGTAAAATTTACGGAGTGTCATTATTAATCTGTCCTCCTCATAACTTTGTTGGAGCAGTTTCTGCGTTAGGAGCACACTCCTGTATATAAAGTCCGTATAGTGTGAACATGCACGAGCATAACGTATCAACTGAGATATGTAAACACCATACGAAGGGGCAGAGGGTATGTTACTGCTGAGAAATGGGAAATTGATAATTGGGAAGGTGAAATTGTCCCGTTTATCATAGATTTTCGTGTGAAGTCGTCCATCTGTGTCAATATCGAGGAAAAGATCAAGGTATGAAGCCTTAGGATACATTAAATCTGTGAAAAGTTATATTCAATTTTACACATTGATCAGTGACAGTTTTACCAGCAATAAATAGCAAAGTTTCATATATCAAGCAAGGTAGATTTGTTTGAATTCAATTTGTACCAGAAAATAAATCAAACTTGTACTTGCTTTAATCTCATCATTGTGAGGTATTTCCACTGAATGTTAAAAATAGAAATTAGAAGATGTTGTATGAGACAACTATCCACCAGAAATCAAAGTACATGGATGTTAGCATCTACCCTTTCTCTTTAAGACTTTTGACATAAATTCAACCACGATCATTAAAGCAGGCGAGACATTTCAGCTTGTGCACTCTTATCATTTCAATTTATTAAGATCCAATGTAAATTAACAACTTATAAGTGGCAATCATATGTGATGAAGAAAACAATTTCTCTCAACACACTGTGGGCTAAATGTCTAGTATGCTGTCCCTTACCTTTTGGTAAGTATCTTGAATAAAAGTTATGTTTTGCTCTTTTAGAAAAATAACAACTAATATGAAATCTGTAAAATGCTACAAATATAATTACCACATGAAACAGATTTTGACCAGGAGATGATATGTTTTATGATAACTTTTTTTTTTTAGATGGTCAGTACTTTGTCACTGTTAGAGCATTAAATGATGTAAAGTATGGAGGGCCATTGGTAACAACAGTGTGTCATTCTACGCCACTGACAGTAGATAACTCCAGACCAGAGATTTATGATATATATGGAATAGAATATGATGAAGATCTGCCCTCACTGAAAGCTTCACATGTATCCGGGTATGTATAGAAATATCTACTCCAATTTACCTTGGAGTTTGGTATTTTTGTTATACTTATTTTTAAAAAGACACTTGAACTTTTTTATACTTTTTGTTGAGTCTGCAACTTAAGTCTCAGAAGCAACACTGATCCTTCCTTCATGGAATGTTATGAAACTTAGGCAGAAGCTTCTTCAATATCGAATGATAATACTCAATGAAAATAACTCAAATTTAAAGTTTCTTTTTGATTTTGAGGAATAAGAATACAAAATTGAATTATAAAACATGTAGTTTTGTGCATATTAGTTGGATTATATTAACTTCTATTCTATCTTACATAGACAGGATGATACAGTGTAAAGATATGTTGTTCAGTTAAACATGCACTTTATTTTCTGATGTTTAAGTACATGTTAAACTTTATCAAGTTCTATCCTTTTTACAGTGACCCTCATTCAGGTTTGATATACAATGATTTATGTTTGGGCCATTCTGCCAGAGACTGTGATGAAATGGACTGGAAAAGAATGGACTATAGTCCACACATACAGTATGCAGTAAAGCTCACAGATGGTGTCCGTATTTGGGTCAAAATCAAGGTCATCAATGGAGGTATAACAAAGTTTCAGCTTAAAATATATATTTGTATGGTGTAATGTACTTCTTATTGTTAATTTTTATTTTTTTTAAAAAGGGCAAGCAAATTGCATTTATTTCTAAATTTGCAAGTAGGTCATTTTGCAAGTTGAGGTTAAGAGACACTAAATGAAGATGGTACAGTTTATACTGTTATCAAGAATTTACCTACAAAACTTGTAGTGACTAACAATATAATTAAAGTCTCCTAATTTTTCAGTGGATCTGAGAAAAATAGGAGTAGCAGACCAAGCTATAATTGTTGACAACACACCACCAATAGCAGGACAAGTGTTGGATGGTTCAGTACAAGGAACTGATCTGCAATTCACCAAAGAGTATCAAAAGGTAGAATTATTATTATATTTACTCATTTTAATCTTTCAGCATCAAAATTTAATGTAAATGAAAAATTACTTTTTCATTGCATTAATCAATTATGATTCCTCGGTAGGAATTAGCAAAATACTGAAACTTCTGATAGTAGTGATTGTGATTTCATTATAAAGCAAGTTGATTGTAGAAAATATTTTATTCCAAATAGAGTTTAAAGAACTTCTATGGAAGCAGTAAATGTTTGTAGTGAATGTGTACAAAACTACAAAACTTACTTGTGCCATTTAATTGTACCAGACTTTTAAAAAGAACTTACTACTACACACAAATTTCAGCAATCCCAATAATAATTCTTTCACCATGGAAGCTTTAATCTTTTAATAATGGTAATGTTCATTTACATAGTTTGCAAAGTATGCAGGTTGAATTTTAAAAGAATCTATTTTATACCTTTTTACTAAAAAGAGTTAAATGGAATGACAGAGTATTTCATTCTTTTATAGCTTTGCTCCAATTGGAGACATTTCTACGATCAAGAATCAGGAATATCAATGTATATGGTGGGAGCGAGTTCTGAGAGAAATTTCAACATAACAGATATTGCTAATTCAACAGAAATAAGTAGACAAATCCATACAATCTGTGTGTCTGTCAACAAAGACTTAGAACATGGCAAGACATATTATACCATTGTCTGGGCTTATAATGGAGGAATAACACAACAGAAAGTTGCTGCTATATCTGATGGAGGTATGTATCAACCAATAAAAAAGGAGTAGCAGGCCAAGCTTTTATTGTTGTCAGATGTTTTTATTTAACCAAATTGTATTAGTTTTTTTTTTCAATAAATGAGATCGATCAACATAAATTATCAAGAAAGGCATAATGCCCTATAAAATAAGAAAAAAATTATAAGTTTGTTAATTTTTTCAGTAACTGTGGATTTGACAGAACCAGAATCAGGAGAAGTAATTGATGGGGTTCAGACAGGATTTATAGATCTTCATTTTTCACCCAGTACAGCTAAAGTTGGGACCCAGTGGAGGGGATATCATGATCCTGAATCTGGTATACAACAGTATGGTGTACAGGTGGAGGTTTCAAAGTAAGTTGCCGACATCTATTTCATTTGGTCTCTGGTGTATAGTTGTTTTATAAGCAATCATAGCACATCTTCTTATTTTCATATAGATATTTTGAGGCTCAGGAGAGAGATTACTGCAACAAAATTCTGTTAAAAAACAATAAAAAGTCTGGTTATGTTGATGTTTCTTGAGGCATTATCTTGACCCATACTGTGTTATACACCTATCCTTGTTAGCATAAAATTGTGAATAGAAACGGGGAATGTGTCAAAGAGACAACAACCCAACCATCTTTGTTTCACACCAATAGATATAAGAAGGTGTGGTATGAGTGCCAATGAGACAACTCTCCATTCAAGTCAAAATTTAAAAAAGTAAACCATTATAGGTCAAAGTACGGTCTTCAACAGGGAGCCTTGGCTCACATCGAACAGAAAGCTATAAAGGGCCCCAACAATTACTAGTGTAAAACCATTCAAACAGGAAAACCAACGGTCTAATCTATGAAAAAAAAATGAGAAACGAGAAACACTTATGAACCACATCAACAAACGACAACTACTGAACATCAGATTTGTGACGTAGGACAGGTGCAAACAAATGCAGCGGGTTTAAACGTTTTAATGGTACCAAACCTTAACCCTTTTTCTGAAACAATAGTGTAATACCTGTTTTATACAAACTTCAACGGTGTTTGTATTCTGTTGTCTCATATTGTATTTTCCTTGTAGTCTCTTATTATATATTTCTTGAAGTCTCGTAGTGAATATTATTTCTGTAGTTTTTGTAGGAGGCTGTGTGGTTATTTTGTCACTGTTGAATGGTCCTGATAGACCAAATCTCTATTAAAGTCAAGACAGCAACCCACATAATTGAGCATAATAGACCAAATACCAGCTCCAAACAAACTAAACCAAGGCTAACGTAAGGGGTTTCTGTGTGTAAACCAAAACATAGTCTCTGTAATTCATACTGGCTTAACGCAAAAAGATAGTTAGAATTAATAATAAATTTATTATTAATAACACTAAAACGATTTAGTTTTGGCCCTTGAGGAACAATCAGCATACAAATAGAATTTTGAGTTCCTGCCAGAGCAAGTTAGCTTGCAACCTTCAGTGTGAGAAAGAACCTGTCTGCCTTACAATGTGCCAGCCGGGGAATGTGGAGCGAGGGTTCTCCATGAGGGGATGAGACTAGGTGTCTCATCTGCAGCTGGGGTGAGCAAGGCCTGCATGGGGATAGCCCATGTGCTAGTAGAGTAGCAGTCAGGTCAGTCAAACTGGCGCTGTAATAAATTTGATAAAATATTTTGTTTCACTCAAATCCTTGTTAGTATCTTTTTTTTCACACCAATCCATGTAAAACTTTGTTTCACACCAATTCTTGTCAGCATCTTTGTTTCAAACCAATCCTTTCAGTATCTTTTGTTTCACACCAAGCTTTGTCACACTCTTTGTTTCACACCAATCCTTGCAGTATCTTTTTTTTTACATCAAGCCTTGTCACACACTTTTTTCATATTATTCCACACTTTGTTTTGCACCAGTCCTTGTCAGGATCTTTGTTTCACACCAACCCTTGTTACGCTTTGTTTCACACCAATACATGTAACACTTTTTTTCGCGCCAATCCATCACACACTTTGCCTTATATTTACATGATACATTATCACTATAGTTTAATTGGGTTATAATTAATACTGACAGTTAGGAATATATGATCATCAGATTAACGGGTGTGTCTGTCAATAGTTTATTATCTCTAAAAATAGTTCACAGTTATAATGTTCTGTTAGGTTTTATGGGATTTTATGACATTAAATTACTCTTTGTTTTATGTATATTGATGTATTGCAAATTGTAATCATTGTGTCTGTAGATTGTACTTTAATCAACATATATACTCTAATGAACTAGCCATCACTGCAACCCACAATAAATATATAACACTTTGTTTCACACAAATCCTTGTCAGTATCTTTGTTTCACACCAATCCATGTCACACTTTTTTCACAACAATCCTGGTCATGATCTTCGTTTCACATCAATCCTTGTCAGTATTTTTGTTTTACACCAATCCATGTCAGTATCTTTGATTTACAACAATTTTTGTTACACTTTGTTTCACACTAATCCATGTCATACTTTGATTCACACAAATCCATGTCACACTTTGTTTTAGTAACAACACGGAACACTATGAAGTAGTTAGGGAATGGGTTACCTTCCCAAAGGAAACTGACCGTATAGAATGGTTGAACTTTCACCTTCATCACAAAGACCATGTCACGGTCAAGTTAAAAACCACAAATGCAGCCTTAAACTCAATCATCAATGAGACGAGTGGATTTGTTGTTGACCTGACTCCAGCTGATCTTGTTAGCTTGGGTGATGGATCTGTGCTGAAAGAAGATAAAACATTTCAGGTTTGTATTATTTTTTGTTTTACATATCAAACTTGTCACAGTAACTTAAAAAATAATATTTGAAATTAGTAGATTGTTAAAGGGTTCACCATAGACAGTTTTTTATGCCCCACCTAGGGGCATTATTATTTTCGGTTTGTCTGTCCGTCCGTCCATTCGTCCGTCTGTCCCGCTTCAGGTTAAAGTTTTTGGTCAAGGTAGTTTTTGATGAAGTTGAAGTCCAATCAACTTGAAACTTAGTACACATGTTCCCTATGATATGATCTTTCTAATTTTAATGCCAAATTAGAGTATTGACCCCAATTTCAGGGTCCACTAAACATAGAAAATGATAGTGCAAGTGGACACATTCTTGTTAACTATTCATTCCAAATGTCATCTCCAGACTTTAGTCTTCTTATCATTTGTTTTCTTAATAGGAGATTTCTCAAATGTGCTAGTCGTGTGAACCCTCTTACAAAATCCTATTTTTGAATCCTTCATCTTTGCAACTTTTACAATTAAAACCATTTTGAAGTACTTAAGTCAGATATGTTACGTGGCTCGAGAACAGTTATTTTGGAGTGCATTTCTTTTAGTAAAAAAAAAGCAAATTAAAAAAATCCCACCTGCTCTATCCAAAAAAGATTTTTACAGTGTAGTGTAATACTTTTGGGACAAATTAAATCAAAATTATAAAACAGTCTATCGGCTCTAACACAAAATATGGACAATTTTATGTTAAGGAGGTCTGTAATTCATTTTTACAGCTTCAGACATACTAATTTTCAACCTTTTCAAACTAGACCAAATCACTACTTCACCTAAAAATGCATGCCCCAAATTTTTTTTACATGTAATTTCATCCCCCTACTTACTATTTTATGCATAAAATATAAAGAAATTAATTTGGAAGGTGTATGAAAAAAAATTGCAAGTTATACACTGTCCAGACTAGGGACTCTATTTGTACACAAAGAAAATCAAAGGACGATAAATATGTCCCTGGACCTAATAGTGGACCAAAAACTAATCAATAACTAAGATCCATCGTGATATGAATAAAAGGAGATGTATACCTAATTAATCTGGATGCACAGATACATGTTTTTGGCTTTTTTTTCAGTCTGATGTGACAAGTTTGTCCAGTAACTTTGAGTTTATAGATGAAGAATCTGGTTTGGATCATTTTAAAGTTCAGATATATCAACATCATGAAGGTGTAAGATCCCAAGTTATACCAGGTATGCCAAATCTAGATAAACTCTTATAGGTGGGGTGTTATCAACATCATAAAGGTGTAAGAGCACAAGTCATACCAGGTATGCAAAATCTAGATAAACCTTTTAGGTTGGGTGTTATCGACAACATAAAGATGCAAGATTGAAAGGATTTATCCATATCCTGCATAGAAGCAGTTTTGATAATTTATGACAGAAGCAAGTTTGGTTAACACTTGAAGATTATTGATATTTTTCAGAAGGAAAGATAGTAAGAAGAAAAAATAAAAAGAATTTGAAAATAGATAAGTAAAGAAATGGATTTAGTTTTAATGATGCAACATATTTTAAAAGACATTTTAACGTCTTGAAATAAACTGATGAAGAAACACATTGTAACAATTCTATGAATGAAAAGACTTTTTATAAGATGTCATTATTTGCACATTTTTTATTATGTTTTTAGCAATTTATGGTGAATGGTTAAATCTTGGTACTGATGTCAGTATAAACCACTACACTCAGACAGATCTGTCCTTACATCAGGGCGGAATCTACAGTATGAGGGTGGGAGCTGTTAACAAGGCAGGATTTGTGGCAGCATTTGAGACTAATGGTGTTGTCATAGATACCACACCTCCTGTTGTAAGTATCTGTTGTCAGTATATTAGGGTGGAGTATACAGTATGAGGGTGGGAGCTGTTAACAAGGCAGGATTTGTGGCAGCATTTGAGACTGATGGTGTTGTCATAGATACCACACCTCCTGTTGTAAGTATCTGTTGTCAGTATATCAGGGTGGAGTATACAGTATGAGGGTGGGAGCTGTTAGCAAAACAGGATTTTGTAGCAGCATTTTTATAAAACTTATACTATAGGTTAATATCAGCAAAATTTCGGACAAGTCCTATAATGGTGGCCGATTGACTTTTTTTAAAAGAGTTATGCCCCTTGGAAATATTAAATTGGAAAATGGCCTCTTTAGGGCTCTCACAGGTACAATTCTTGCCAGATTTTTATAAAACTTATACTATAGGTTAATATCAGCAATATCTCGGACAAGTTTTATAATGGTGGCCAATCGACTTCTTTTAAAAGAGTTATGCCCCTTGGAAATTTTAATTGATGGAAAATGGCCTCGTTAGCGCTCTCACGGGTACAATTCTTGCCAGATTTCTATAAAACTTATACTATAGGTTAATATCAGCAATATCTCGGACAAGTGCTATAATGGTGGACGATCAACTTTTTATGCCCCACCTACGATAGTAGAAGGGGCATTATGTTTTCTGGTCTGTGCGTCCGTTCGTTCGTCCGTCCGTAACAAATTGTGTCCGCTCTATATCTAGAGAACCGTTATGATATCACAGTTTATACTTGACATGTATATTAACCAACACTAGAGGATGTGTCATAATGTATGTACAACTTCCTAGGTCAAAGGTCAAGGTCAAAAACTTTGGTTTTAGTTGACAACCCCATGTCCTATGGTAAAGATCTTGTCCGCTCTATATCTTGAGAACCGTTATGATTTCAAAGTTTATACTTGACATGTATATAAACCAACACCAGAGGGTGTGTCATAATTTATATAAAACTTCCTAGGTCAAAGGTCAAGGTCATAAACTTCGGTTTCAGTTGACAACCCCATGTCCAATGATAAAGATACAAATTTTTTACCACATATTATTCACAGCGGGGCCCACAGAGATGGCTCCCATCTCAATGATATCTTGTTTTTTCTGCAAACTTGCCACAAGCTTGCAACAAAAAGCTGCAATGTTTGCAGGAGGTTTGCAGCTAGCTGCAAACATCTGCAAACATTATTCAAAGGGTTCCTGCAAACTTTTTGTTTGCAGCAAACATTTCAGTTCTGTAAGGGAGTGCAAATGGGTCATGGTGTCCTATGGACACATATTCTTGTTAAGAACAAGTATAACAAGAACATATTTTTGTCAAGAGTTGTTTCTTTTGTACAGGTTAGCTAACTTAAATTGTTGCCAGACAGGATATTCTTTTTATGTTGGAGTTCTTTATAATATGTAGAAGTTATCGTTTTCAAAACAAATAATAATATTTGTCAATGGACATTAGGCAAACAATAAATTATGAAATGAGTTTTTGCAGAAAGATTCCATGTAAGCTATTGACCTGTGAACTTTGGTTTACCAACCAATATAGCTACTTACAAAAACTATAAATGACATTTTTTGATTTTTCTAGATGCACTGGCTACATGTAGGAAGCATAGCTGGCAGAATAGAGACAGTTATAGATGAATATGTGTGGCAGGCTGATACTACTGGGATCAAGGCAGCCTGGGGAGCAGATGATCACCAGTCAGGCATTACAAAGTTTAAAGTAGCAGTGGGAACAACTCATGGTGAGTGTTCATTTAAAAAAATCAAACACCTTTTTAGTCTCAAGGTAGCATTTTGTCCTAGGATGCGGTAGGTCATTGGGTTCATGCCTAGCCAGGTCAAATCAAAGACTTGAAAAATGGTATTTGCTGCTTCTGTGCTAAGCATGCTGTATTATGAGTAAAGCAAAGACTGGAAGGCTCGGGTCAGAATAATGTGTCTGGTTAGGGAGATGTGAACAAGCAAGTTAAATATATGGCTCTGTGTGTCATTCTTGTAAAAGACAGGATTTATATCACAATCCATCATCATCATCATCATCATTATTCTGTTAAAAGCTCTATAGAGCTTATGTTTTGTAGTTTGTAACTATACTGAATATAAATAAAGCTTTCATATCTTCCCGTACGAAATAAGTAGTAGGATTCCACCTAGACACTAGTAGGAATGTAGTAGGAATCTACCTAGAATCAAAGATTCTATATAGAAAGTAGGCGGACAGGGAAAATGAACAAAATTCTGACTGGATTTTTTATTTTTTCACTAGCTAAATCCTACCATCTAGCTGGAATTTTAAAAGTCTGTATGGATTTTTTTCTGTTTTGAAAATATGAAGTGGGAATTTGGACAGAAAATCTTATTAAATTGTTCATTTTCCTACTACTAGATTCCCACCAGAATTAATTTATTCCTACTAGAAAATCTTTCTACATGGAATCTTTTTAATTATCTTAAACTGGATTCCTGTTTGCTAATGACACACATTTTGCTGTGTTAAATGCAACCAAGTTCCAGTTCACAAATTCAAAAGTTTGAGGATAGAAGAATGAAAAGTTGAGTTGGAATTAACACAATGCTGCAAGGGTCAAACAACTACAATATTGAAATATGAGAAAATATATATGGCTCATGTATAGATTGAAGGTAATTTTTATACTTTTAAATGAAATGTTTGATCTGCATGTTTGCCAATACATTTAGTAATCAGTTATTTCAACAATAGTGCATAATTTTATTCATTATTTGTTCATTACTATTTAATTTCATCTAATCAACATTTTTGCCCATATACTTATATAACACAATTTATAGCTTGGATATATATCACATGCAGCTTCCTCATACATTTCAAAAGTCATGAATATATTCCATGCATTTCCTTTGTTCTTTGTTGTTGAGATTCAAACTTAAATGATTGACTCAGTTGTGTAGTTGTGAATATACACTTACATTTTGTATATTTTTTAGATTCCTACTAGAAAATATTTTTTTCTATGTGGAATTTTGAAAAATTCCTACCAGGTTTCTAGTTGGAATTTTATTTTCTATTGCTAATTTAAATATTCCTACTAATAAATTCCTGCTAATTTAAATTTTTCAGCTATTTTCCGTGTGGATTCCTACTACTGTCTGACTAGAATATCACTCTTCTCTGGGAGGAATTCAATGCAATATTCCTACTATATTCCGTGTACATTCTGTGTGGACTATTTTATATAGGTTTATATCATCATCCACTTTTGAAAATTTTACAATCTTTTCAAGCTGATTTCATGTTTCAATACTTTTCTAATAAAATAACACAACTTTAAAACTTATGAAGAAGATATTACATAACCAATACCTGTCAGGCTATGCATCAATATCAGGCACTATTAATTATGTGTTTTGGCATTATTCAACAGTCTCACTAGGTGAGACTTATAAGTATAGTATTTCCTAGGAGAACAAAAACATGTATATATATCCCTGACCTGATATTAAAATTGACTTAAAATAATTATAAAATAGTCATATTTTTGTGTATTAAGGTGGCACAGATATCATGTCTTGGACAGCTTTTGGATCTGAGAAGGATATATACATACCTGACTTGACACTACAGCTGACAGACCTGAAAACTTACACACCAGTGTATTATGTCCATGTAAAGGCAGAGAATGGAGCAGGACAGGAAAGTAATCCTGTCACATCTACACCTATTGTGGTGGTAGATGAAGACAAACCAGGTAGGAGACTTTTAAGTATAAAACTTGGCACAGAATTTTGTTAATCATATCCCTGTATATGGAAGCAGGGGGTGTTTCATATTAATTGTGTCCATTCCTATGTCAGTCCTTTCAATCTTTTTATCAACAACTCTTAAATCAATAACTTATATTTGAATAATTGAAATATATTTGGACATAATGAAATTGTACACCTCTCATTTTTTGTTTTCATTTAAAATATATTAATACCCCTGCAAACAAAGTTCTTGGAATCACTTTGTCCATCCTTAACTGTCCGATTTACTTACTAAAATAAACTATAAGTATTGCTGGGCAAGGGGTATCTTTTTGTAACAGTAAGTAATGTATTTACTTAAGCGGGTAAAATCGAAGTAATTGCAAGTAAATTTCAGTAATTGCTTAGTAATTCCTAGTAATTTTTCATTTAAAAAATTATTAATTAAAGAAAATATATAATTACTAAGTAATATTCTTTATGAGTGTTGAGTTAAAAAATTGATAATTACCATGGAGAATACTGTTTACACTAACTGGGAATACAAGATATTCAAAGATTCTTAGAATTTAATCAGGTAATCTGTTGCTTAATAATGTATGCTCTTGTATATTTCTTTGCGTCAGCTTTTGTGGCACAATTGAAACTTTTGTAGAGATTAATTTATAGTCTAATTGAGGCCAATATCAGCCATCCAGCTTTTTACCTTTTTGTCTCTAATTGTTCAATTTGATATGGTTTGTAAAAACATTTGCTATATATTTATACCCCTGCTTTAAAAAAGTGGGGGTACACAAATGTATACTGTTTTACCTCTGTCTGTCCGTCCATCCGTCAGTCCATCCGTCAGTCGGTCCTTCAGTCCGTCCTTCCGTCCCATGAATATTTTTTGTCGTATCTTTCATAGGAACTACATTACAAGGATTTCTGAAATTTGATTTCAGAGTTTATATGAGTCAGCTTTACCGTGTGATGCGTTTTCAGATTCATCACTCAACAACTTCCTGTTTACCTTATACTTTTAGCGGGGTGGGGGTATCATTAGTGAGCAGTAGCTCACAGATTCACTTGTTTATTATTGTATTTATCTCTATAACAGGTTTGGTGGTAGATGGAGCTGAAGGTACCGATGGTAATACCTTAGTACTTAATGAAGATGTAGATTATCAGTTAGACTTTTCTACTACCACACTACAGTTCAGTGGTTTTGAGAGTCATTTACATGGAGTTGTGGATTATGAATGGGCAGTAGGAACAACTCCAGGTGGTGAGGATGTTATGTCCTATACTCCTCATGGACTGGTACATTCTGAAGAGGCAGATGTTGTTGGCAATGGTAAGTTATCATCCCACAGAGTCCCTACAGTAGGTACAACTCCATGTAGAGAGGATGTAATGTCCTATACTCCTCATGGACTGGTACATTCTGAAGAGGCAAATGTAGTTGGCAATGGTAAGTTATCATCCCACAGAGTCCCTACAGTAGGTACAACTCCAGGTGGAGAGGATGTTATGTCCTATACTCCTCATGGACTGGTACATTCTGAAGAGGCAGATGTTGTTGGCAATGGTAAGTTATCATCACACAGAGTCCCTACAGTAGGTACAACTCCAGATGGAGAGGATGTTATGTCCTATACTCCTCATGGACTGGTACATTCTGAAGAGGTAGATGTTGTTGGCAGTGGTAAGTTATCATCCCACAGAGTCCCTATAAAAGGTACAACTCCAGGTGGAGAGGATGTTATGTCCTATACTCCACATGGACTGGTACATTATGAAGAGGCAGATGTTGTTGGCAATGGTAAGTTATCATCCCCCAGAGTCCCTACAGTACGTACAACTCCAGGTGGTGAGGATGTTATGTCCTATACTCCACATGGACTGGTACATCCTGAAGAGGCAGATGTTGTTGCCAATGTTAAGTTATAATCCCCCGGAGTCCCTACAGTAGGTACAACTCCAGGTGGATAGGATATTATGTCCTATACTCCTCATGGACTGGTACATTATGAAGAGGCAGATGTTGTTGGCAAGGGTAGGTTATCATCACACAGAGTCCCTACAGTAGGTACAACTCCAGATGGAGAGGATGTTATGTCCTATACTCCTCATGGACTGGTACTTTCTGAAGAGGTAGATGTTGTTGGCAATGGTAAGTCTTAGAATATGTCACCTTTAATATTTACATTCTTTCTCAGAAAAAAGAATATTTACAATGTCTTAAAACAAATAGCTGTTCAGGAATATTTTTTTTTTTATGATAAGCTATTCATTACAAGGTTTTTTGAAAATACAATAGTTTAAGAAAATATCTTTAATATTGTAAAGGATCAGGGGCATGCACCATATACACATGTCTATACTCAACTGTACAGTAGTGTAGTTTGCCTCAACAAAGTTTGAGTAATTGGGCATTGACTTCATCATAAGTGACAGTACTGGTTTTATCTATTAATCATATAATATTTTATGTGCAGATATACATTCTGACATACTTAAGATAAGATATATTCAAATGGATATGACAATCTCCTGTGAAAAGTATTCACTTTGACCTATATTTTATGGTTCATTAATCAAATTGTTTTTTTTTTTGTAAAGTTCCAAGTTCATTTCTCAAAAAAGAATTGGTCCTTAAATCACTGAAGTTAAATTATTCTTCAATTTTTTGGTTTTATTTGATAAGGTTTATTTAGCCAAGTTAGGGAGATTGCAAACTTTGTTACAACTTATTATAGATATAAGAAGATGTGGTATGAGTGCCAATGAGACAACTCTCCATCCAAGTCAAAATTTATAAAAGTAAACCATTATAGGTCACAGTACGGTCTTCAACACGGAGCCTTGGCTCACACCGAACAGCAAGCTATAAAGGGCCTAAAAAATTACTAGTGTAAAACCATTCAAACGGGAAAACCAACGGTCTAATCTATATAAAAAACAAGAAACGAGAAACACTTGTGAACCACATCAACAAACGACAACTACTGAATATCAGATTTCTGACGTAGGACAGTTGCAAACAATTGCAGCGGGTTAAAACGTTTTAATGGTACCAAACCTTCACCCTTATCTGAAACAATAGTGTAACATCACAACATAGAAAGACACACTATAAAATATCAATTGAAATGGCTTAACTCAATCAAAAGACATATTAACACCAGTGAACATACACTGAACAAATAAATTTGATTTATGATACAATGAATATACAAAATAAATAAACTAAGGGAAGAATAATAAAAGTAACATGTTATACCGCTGTGAAATGTTTAACAATTTAAGAAAAACAATATGCTTGAACAAAAATATCAGCCATTTGCAATTACTTTAAACACAGGTAAAGAAAATAATTTTGTTGTTAGGTATACGTGAACAGTTCAAATAGAGAAAGGAAATATTTTTACAAAATAAATAATTTTGATGTTTATAGTATGAAGAAGTGAAAATTTATAGTAATACCAAACACTTATCAAAGCTGGTATATAGACCAGATATAACCCTGAATAACATTAAATAACATCTTTGTTTATATTACTTATAAGGAATATCCAGTTCTGGTTTTGCCCAAGCCAATCTACACCTTAAACCAGAGATAAAATATTACTCCAGTGTTCGTGCTGTTACTAATAAAGGCAATGTTTTAGAGGCTGTGTCTGATGGGTTTACGGTAGACACTTCACCACCTGTGGTTACACTAGACAGGTAAGGTATAATAGAATGCTTAGGGTGTCATGTTTCAAATCAAAATAAATTCCAATACAGAACTAACAATAATAAATAAAAATGAATTACTTGTCCTTTGGTTTTTTAAAGGTAATGCCTTTTATTGCCAGTGTAACAGCCATTTTTAGCTTATTATATAATATATTCTTTGAGTAGCCTGGGTTTCCTGACCATAACAAGGATATTTTTAAACTCTGCACGTCCATCTTCAATAAAACTTTTTGACTTTCACTTATTGGCTTTGGGTGGTATTTATGCTGTTATGCCATCGTATTGCTTGCAACCGATTGGTTACCTTGATTCAGACCCTTATTTAAGTGAAATCCGAATGATAATGTTCATTTTCTCATTGCTATTTCATTCTTATTTCAAAATTAAATAAATGCAAAATATTAATAACTGTGTGATTTTTAATAAGGAAAAGTAGTTTCAATATTCAAATGAATAGCTGGAACAAAGAATGCGAGGTTTTACAAAAGTGTTTGTTTGCTGGTAAGGTGCTCAATTGCATAATATAATTGACCTAATATATCATCTTAAAAACCTCATGCAATTTTTTTAATTGTTATGCATTTTTGCATTGTTATTTAATTTTATCTATAAAAACCAGTGACCAGGCACTTTTTTATCTCTCAATTTCTAGATATATGTTGTAGATATTTCGAAAAATGAATAGTTGCACCTTATATACAAAATTTTCCAATCTTTTTTTACAGCGGATGAACATGAGGGCATTCCAGTGTTATGTTGCCTCAGACATTTCTGCCCACGTGACTTGCGTTTTTGACTGATAACCGAATGTATTTCGAATAATTATGCGGATATTATCGAGTGCAAAATAACATTCCTTATTGCTTGTTATATGTTAATATCATCAATAAATATTCATGAAAACAATTTTTAAGAACATAGATAAATGATATGAAAATGTTTTGTCGTGAGAAATATATATATCAATAACAAATCAAGAATACCGAAAATTTGTGTTAACACATGCGGAAGAATATCTCAGGAACGTTTTGCAACAAACGTGGGAAAATATGAATGCTGTCTCAAATCCAATCTATAAGAAAAAGGAATTATTACAGAAGAGTGTCCACCATGCACTTGCACTGCACTATCATTAGAAAAGTAGAATATAATGATATACAAATGGATAAAAATTATATATAACTGTTCTACAAATATTAATATAATAACAACAAATCAGAGTATACTGATAACAAATGATTATATCACTACAATATAATAGTTATTATGGTGAGGTTGAATTCCCTGTCATTTATTCACCATCCACACATGAATTTGTCTCAGAAAAAAAAATATCTATGTACCTTAACCTAACTTTCAGGTATAGAGATGTGATTTTTTTTCTGAGACAAGTGCTTGTGACCATCCACCAGAACTTGCGGTCATCCGATGTTCAGTACTTTAGAACTTTGATTTTAATTATTATTTAAATTGTCTGAAATGATTTACAGACTAACAGATAATGATGCCTCTGAGATGGAAGGTGGGTCCAGTATTTATCAGAAAACTGTGGATTCCCTGTCAGCCCTGTGGCATTATAGTGATGAAGAGAGTGGTATACAGAGAGCTTGGTTCAATGTAGGGACCTATCCTTTTGGAGGAGATGTGGCTCCAGTAACAGAAGTTAATATTACACCAAATCTACAAAGTTCATTGTCATTGTCTACTGTAGTTGCTGATACTTCAGGTAAACTATTCTATGCATGAAATATTTGGTACTGGACATTAAACAACAATCATTCAATAAACTATATTGTCACAAAAATGTGATAAGTTTGAAATTTTTCTCTGTAATATACCCTTTCAAAAGATTTCAAGAAATAGCCATTTGCAGATGTTAATATAATACAACACCTTTAAAGTTTATTCAGTAATTTAACTGTTTACTTATAGAGGACATTTAATACATTTATATATTTGTTTTTTAAAGCTCACCTTGACCAAAGGGCCAGTGTGAGCTATTGCTTTCACTTGGCATTCATCTTCTGACATCGTTGTCCGTTAATATTTACAAAAATCTTCCCCGAAACTACTGGACCAAATAAAACCATACTTGTTCACAGTCATCCTTGGGGTGTCTAGCTTTTAAATTGTGTCCAGCTATCCAGCCGGTCAACCAACATGGCCTCAAAGACTGAAAATAGAACACAGGAGTAAAATGCAAGTATTGTCTATCAGCTTGTAAATCTTTATAGACGAAGAAAATCTGATGGGGCAGAAATGTTTAGAATGATGATTTCTACCTACAGATCATTTAGACCAAAACTGTTAGGCAATTCCACTACAAACTATTGAAAGTCTGAAATGGCCTATATTTGTACTCGACTGTACTGATTTTTACTCGACCAGTCTGAATTGGTCTGAAATTTACTTGATTATACTCGACTGTAGTCTGAACCATACTTAACAGTCTGAACTTGTACTCGACCACACTCGACCAGTACTTAACCATTTTATTTGCGTCTGAGCCATGCTCGACCTAGTCTGAACCTTCCTCGACCTAGTCTGAACCATACTCGACCTAGTCTGAACCATACTCGACCTAGTCTGAACCATACTTGACCAAGTCTTAACCAACCTAGACATATTTTTTGTATCTATCTATTGTATTTAGTCAATTTAGGAACTGTTTTTAACAGCTATTTCCCATGGCTAGAAATTTGAACAACAATTTGAAATTTAAAATGTATTCAATATGGCATTGAAACCAAAATTTCACAATAAACATAATATAAATTCAACACCATAATTATCAACTCTTACATATATATATATCACCTTTAAAATAAAAATAGAACAAGCTGATCCAATAATCTCAAAACTGAATTGTGACTAATATTTTCAATGTTATTCAAAATTTTTTGAATGTTTCAGATATATTTTATGGTTACTGGACAATTTTCACCATTTACTTAAGCCTTGTATAGATTTATGGTGTCAGTTGAGTTTAGTTTAATGCAGTGAACATTTTTTTTATTAAAATATATTTAGAATAGTATATAACATGTATAAAGCAACTTAATAAATTTAAAAGATCACACCTTTGTTTTGTAAAACCAAGAATTTAATATAATCATGATAATAGAACTTCCGTAGCAATCCTTGATAACCATTTAAAAAAGGAAAATTAATGTGTTCGAAAGTTGCAGAAAAAATTTATTTCAATTAAATTTAAATAACTTTTGTCAAAATTAAAGACATGGCATACAAGAAGAACTTTAATAAGGTTTAATTACCTCATTACATGTGTGTTTTACAGGTAAAAAGAAAGCCCTATTTTTCTTAAACTCGTGTATTACTTATCTAGTGAATTCAAAAAGCCTTGCGATTTAAGTTTTACAGGATGTTGCAATTTTTACTGAATGTTAATTAGAAATTAATTCTCTCTGACCAGGTGTGATCTTTTTAATGAGTTTGCCCCAAGCAGGAGGTATTACTTTATACTTTACCACTATTCAGTAATTTTTTTTTATTTATTTCTTTAACTTTTTTATCGCTTTTTGATATATATTATATATATTATATCCCAAATTATAATAAGAATAGATATATTTCTAATAATTTATAAGGTTAAACAATTTCAGTGATTTTTTGGCTGTTGTTAACTCATTAAAAAGACAATTATATAACTATTGTATGTAACCATAAACCTATGTAGTTTTTCTTTAGGAATTTAGGAAAATTAAGTTTAAAAAAAAATAAACAAATGCCAACCAAGAAGCACTTTAATAAGGTTTTAATACCCTCAGTAAAGGTGTGGTTTTTAGGTAAAAGATATTTTTTTTAACAAAACTCTAAAACTTAAAATTAATATAATTAAATTATTATATAAGATAATTTGATTTAACTATCTCTATTTGATAAATGTAAGAATCATGTAAGGATGTCAGAATATGTTTTATATATATCTTTATTTTACTGTGGCTATTATCATGTCAGAAAAAAAGAAATTAATTTTAACAGCTAAAATTAAAAAAAAGTAGAGGTTATTTGGTCAAGTATGGTTCAGACAGGTCGAGTATTGTTCAGACCTTTGGTCAAGTATGGTTTAGACTGAAAAAATAGGTCGAGTACAGGTCGAGAATGGGTTAAGACTGTTTCAGACTGGTCGAGTAATAGTTCAGACTATTTTCAATGGCAAAGATAAGGGTCAAGTACAAATCAGTACGGTCGAGTATGGTTAAGACTGGGGTCGAGTAATGTCGAGTAAAATTTAGACCAATTCAGACTGGTCGAGTAAAAATCAGTACAGTCGAGTACAGATATAGGCCATTTCAGACTTTTACTGGTTTGTAGTGTTCTTTATAGGACGTGTTGCCTTTAAATAAAGGACTGTTACTATTTGTTTTGTATTTGCCTATTATCTTGAGAACTATAATAGATATAGAGAAATTTTATATTGCAAAAATTATCAGCCAGACATGATTGGAAACTGTCAGTCAACTTCTTTAAGGACTTATTGTCCATAAGTGACAATTTTTTTTCAATTTTGCCTAATATCTTGAAAACTATACTAGATAAATGATCGACAAGACAAGATCTACAAATTAGTCACATAGCTCAAATTTTCAGTCCACTCCTTATAGGATTGATGATTTTTTATGCATTTTTTGCATTTTTGGGGGAAATTATAGGAGAGAAAAACTTTAAACAACAGAAAAAATCAGCAAAAAGAGAATTTTAGCCATGAATTATATTCTAGTCTATAATGTTGGAGAGAGGCCATTCTTAAAGATGCACATAGATTCAGGTGAGAGACAGAGACTTTTTAGAACCCTAGGTTATTCTAAGTTATTTGTAATTGCATATACAATTTTATAGGAAAACCCAACATTATATCAGTGTATGCAGAAAACAAGGCTGGATCCATCAGTAAAATCACATTTAATTCAGTGATTATTGATACATCAGCACCAAATCAGGGAGTTGTCACCTGTCCAGAATATGTAGGGGTAGGTAGCATTGTAATCAATAGATACATTAGAATCAGAGAGTTGTCACCTGTCCAGAATATGTAGGGTTAGGTAGCATTGTTATCAATAGATACATCAGAATCAGCGAGTAGTCACCTGTCATTAATATGTACAGGTACATAGCATTGTTATCAATAGATACATTTGAATCAGGGAGTAGTCACCTGTCCAGAATATGTAGGGGTTTGTAGCATTGTAATCAATAGTAGATCAGCACCAAATCAGGGAGTTGTCACCTGTCCAGATTATGTAGGGAAACGTAGTATTGTAATCAATAGATACATCAGCACCAAATCCGGGAGTTTTCACCTGTCCAGAATATGTAGGGGTATGTAGCATTGTAATCAATAGAAACATCATAATCAGGGAGTTGTCACCTGTCCAGAATATGTACAGGTACATAGCATTGTTATAAATAGATACATCAGAATCAGGGAGTTGTCACCTGTCCAGAATATGTAGGGGTATGTAGCATTCTAATCAATAGATACATTAGAATCAGGGAGTTGTCACCTGTCCAGAATATATAGGGTTAGGTAGCATTGTTATAAATAGATACATCAGAATCAGGGAGTAGTCACCTGTAAAAAATATGTAGGGGTATGTAACATTGTAATTAATAGATACAACAGAATCAGGGAGTTGTCACCTGTCCAGAATATGTAGGGATATGTAGCATTGTAATCAATCGATACATCATAATCAGGGAGTTGTCACCTGTCCAGAATATGTAGGGGTAGGTAGCATTGTAATCAATAGATACATTAGAATCAGAGAAATGTCACCTGTCCAGAATATGTTGGGTTATGTAGCATTGTTATCAATAGATACATCAGAATCAGGGAGTAGTCACCTGTCCAGAATATTTACAGGTACATAGCATTGTTATCAATAGATACATTTGAATCAGGGAGTAGTTATCTGTCCAGAATATGTAGAGGTACATAGCATTGCAATCAATAGTAGATCAGCACCAAATCAGTGATTTGTGACCTGTCCAGAATATGTAGGGGTATGTTACATTGTGATTAATAGATACATCAGCACCAAATCAAGGAGTAGTCACCTGTCCAGAATATGTAGGGGTATGTAACATTGTAATTAATAGATACATCAGCACCAAATCAAGGAGTAGTCACCTGTCCAGAATATGTAGGGGTACATAGCATTGTGATCAATATATACATCAAGTTTTCTATGTTGTGTCATCTGTACTATTATTTGTCTGTTTGTCTTTTTATTTTTGGCCATGGCGTTGTCAGTTTGTTTTTCGATCTATGAGTTTGAATGTCCCTCTGGTATTTTTCGTCTCTCTTTTGTAATCAATAGATACATTGGAATCAGGAAGTTGTCACCTGTCCAGAATATGTAGGGGTATGTAGCATTGTAATCAATTAATACATCACAATCAGGGAGTAGTCACCTGTCCAGAATATGTAGGGGTATGTAACATTGTAGTCAATAGATACATCAGCACCAAATCAGTGAGTTGTCACCTGTCCAGAATATGTAGGGGTACATAGCATTGTGATCAATAGATACATCAGCACCAAATCAGGGAGTTGGCACCTGTCCAGAATATGTAGGGGTATGTAACATTGTAATTAATAGATACATCAGCACCAAATCAGGGAGTTGTCACCTGTCCAGAATATGTAGGGGTATGTAACATTGTAATCAATAGATACATCAGCACCAAATCAGGGAGTAGTCATCTGACCAGAATATATACGGGTACATAGCATTGTGATCAATAGATACATCAGAATCAGGGAGTAGTCACCTGTCCAGAATATGTAGCAGTACATAGCATTGTGATCAATAGATACATCATCACCAAATCAGGAAGAAGTCACCTGTCCAGAATATGTAGGAGTATGTAACATTATAATTAATAGATACATCAGCACCAAATCAGGAAGAAGTCAACTGTCCAGAATACGTAGGGGTATGTAACATTGTAATTAAAAGATACATCAGCACCAAATCAGGGAGTTGTCACCTGTCCAGAATATGTAGGGGTATGTAACATTGTAATTAATAGATACATCCTATTTTTCCTTATATCTAAGTTGTCTAAGTGACTGTTTTTTCCAGATTGGACCAAATAGCAATAAGGTGTATTGTAATCAATAGACATATTAGAATCAGGGAGTTGTCACCTGTCCAGAATATGTAGGGGTGTGTAGCTTAGTATTCAGATACATCAGAATCAGCGAGTTTTCACCTGTCATGAATATTACAGGGTAACACATAGACATTGTTATCAATAAATACATCACAAGCCTGCAATCAGCCCCTATCCACATTCAGTAGGGTCTGGATTATTGTAAAATAGGGCAGAATTAGGGAGTAGTCACCTGTCTTGATTTGATAGAGTCCGGTAGCATTGTTATCAATAGATACATCAGATTCAGTGAGTTGTCACCTGCCCTGATAAGGTAGAGTCAGGTAGCATTGTAACTAATAGATACATCAGAATGAGGGAGTAGTCACCTGTCCTGATTAGGTAAAGTCAGGTAGCATTGTAATCAATAGATACATCAGAATAAGGGAGTAGTCGCCTGTACTCATTAGGTAATGTCAGGTAGCATTGTAATCAATAGATACAACAGAATAAGGGAGCTCTCACCTGTCATGATTAGGTAATATCAGGTAGCATTATAATCAATTGATACATCAGAATAAGAGACTAGTCACCTGTCCTGATTAGGTAATTTCAGGTAACATTGTAGTCAATAGATACATCAGAATAAGGGAACTGTCATCTCACCTGATTAGGTAATGTCAGGTAACATTGTAATCAATAGATACATCAGAATAAGGGAGCTGTCACAAGTCCTGATTAGTTAAAGTCAGGTAACATTGTAATCAATAGATACACCAGAATCAGATAATTGTCACCTGTCCTGATAGGGTAAAGTCAGGTAACATTGTTATCAATAGATGCACAAGAATCAGATAGTTGTCACCTGTTCTGATGAGGTACAGATGGTTTGCATTAAAAATGATAAATATTCTGATAAGTGACACTGTAATAGAAACTTTTACTTGTTAAAACAAACTAAAATTGAAAGTTCTTTATTTCAGGCTAATGTTCCAGTTAAGTGTACCTGGACTGGTTTTCAGGATAATGAAAGCCCAATAGAGAAGTTCCTTGTATCACTTGGTTCTCAAGAAGGGTTTTCTGACATATTCAGCGACAGAAAAGTTGATGGAAATACATTCAGTTATACAATAAATGGTTTGTTATTGATGAAAAATTAAGTATTGAAGCTTCGTATGAAAAAAAGCTAAATAAACCGGCGAAAATTTTAATGAAAGTTAACTTTTATTTTGAATACTTTTCCTCTTTTTTCCCAGCAATCGAAAATAGAAACTATTAAAGAATATGCAAAACCTGTAACATATTTATGAGTCTTATGAAATATTTCTTGATTTTAAATATATTGGTGTCTAGTTAACTTCTTTGGACACATGGACATTTTTGTTTATCCTAGACTAGAAATATGGCCAGTGTTATAGTAAAAAGTCTAATAGAAAAGACTGATTTTAACTACATTTTGTTTTTTGTTTCCCTTATGAGAAATGATATAAAAATCAAGTTATTGGTCATTAATTTAAAAAAAGTAAGGACAAATCTGTAAAGAATATGACAGTTTTTGGAAAGGTTTTGAAAGATGTTTAGATAATATAAGGAGATGTGGTATGATTGCCAATGTAACAACTATCCACCGGAGTCCAAATGGAATGGATGTATGAAACAAGAATTCTTCAAGTTAAACTCATAACTATTGTATGGAAATCCTTGTAACTAGATTTACATGAAAAACATTTTAAAATTTCCAAGCATTAAGGTCTATTAAATCAAAAGTAATCTAAAAAAGTACATTAGGACAGAAATGATTTTATAGATGCAGATGAGTTGATGACACATGAGAAGTCCTACTATGTTACTGTGACTGCTGTTAACACAGTAGGTTTACAGTCCTACAGTTTCTCTGGACCTGTTGCCATAGATACCACACCTCCTGACTATGGTAAAGTGATTGACCTTCATACGACCTACAGAATGGATGTGACTGACAATGCAGCTACTGTACAAATGAATGCTAAAGCTTGTACAACGGATGAAGGTATTAATACAGGCAAACATGCTGATTAGATTCACATTCAAATTGTAAAATACCTTAAAAACCAAAGAAATACACATGTCACTTTAAAGGTCAGTTTAAGAGTTGTGTTAAAGCTTTTGATAGGTTAAAAGTATTAATTAGTTCTTACCAGTGAAATAAAATATATTGCAGCTTTATTTTTGTCTCACCTCTACAAAGTCTTAGGGAAAAAACTTATGCATACTGTTTACAGCATCAAAAGCATCAATTGTAAGAGTTCAATTTAACCACAACTACTTATGGGAGTTATATTATGTATTCACTTGTATCAGCATTGACACATCTGATTACCATGTTAGTTATGTGGCCCTGTAATCTCAGTCATGATCCATTGACACATCTGATTACCATAGTAGTTATGTGGCTCTGAAATCTCAGTCGTGATCCATTGACACATCTGATTACCATGGATGTTATGTGGCCCTGTAATCTCATTCATGATCCATTGACACATCTGATTACCATGGTGGTTATTTGGCCCTTTAATCTCATTCATTATCCATTGACACATCTGATTACCATGGTGGTTATGTGGCCCTGTAATCTCAGTCATGATCCATTGACACATCTGATTACCATGGATGTTATGTGGCCCTGTAATCTCAGTCATGATCTATTGACACATCTGATTACAATGGTGGTTATGTGGCCCTGTAATCTCGGTCATGATCCATTGACACATCTGATTACATGGTAGTTATTAGGCCCTGTAAGCTCAGTCATGATCCATTGACACATCTGATTACCATGATAGTTATGTGGCCCTGTAATCTCAGTCATGATTCATTGACACATCTGATTACCATGGTAGTTATTTGGCCCTGTAATCTCAGTCATGATGATCTATTGACACATCTGATTGCCATGGTAGTTATGTGGCCCTGTAATCTCAGTCATGATCCATTGACACATCTGATTACCATGGTAGTTATGTGGCCCTTTAATCTCAGTCATGATCCATTGATACATCTGATTACCATGGTGGTTATTTGACCCTGTAATCTCACTCATGATCCATTGACACATCTGATAACCATGGTGGTTATTTGGCCCTGTAATCTCAGTCATGATCCATTGACACATCTGATTACCATGGTAGTTATGTGGCCCTGTAATCTCAGTCATGATCCATTGACTGAATGAATACAACATGTACAACATTTGCATCATACTATCAAAATACACACAGAAGAGACATATCTTTTTGTCAACATTTTATTTACATAAAATAAACTATGGTTATCTAATTTGAGGAAAGCAATGTTTTTATTATTATGAAAAAATGACCAACGTGTTGATATCTTATAAATACAGGAGCAATATAAAAATTGAAATTTCTTTTCATAGTGTAAATTACATTGGATATACAATCTACTGATGACCATAACAAAATGAGACATCTGATTACCATGGATGTTATGTGGCCCTGTAATCTCATTCATGATCCATTGACACATCTGATTACCATGGTGGTTATTTGGTCCTTTAATCTCATTCATGATCCATTGACACATCTGATTATCATGGTGGTTATGTGGCCCTGTAATCTCAGTCATGATCCATTGACACATCTGATTACCATGGATGTTATGTGGCCCTGTAATCTCAGTCATGATCTATTGACACATCTGATTACAATGGTGGTTGTGGCCCTGTAATCTCAGTCATGATCCATTGACACATCTGATTACATGGTAGTTATTAGGCGCTGTAAGCTCAGTCATGATCCATTGACACATCTGATTACCATGATAGTTATGTGGCCCTGTAATCTCAGTCATGATCCATTGACACATCTGATTACCATGGTAGTTATTTGGCCCTGTAATCTCAGTCATGATGGTCCATTGACACATCTGATTGCCATGGTAGTTATTAGGCCCTGTAATCTCAGTCATGATCCATTGACACATCTGATTACCATGGTAGTTATGTGGCCCTTTAATCTCAGTCATGATCCATTGACACATCTGATTACCATGGTGGTTATTTGACCCTGTAATCTCACTCATGATCCATTGACACATCTGATAACCGTGGTGGTTATTTGGCCCTGTAATCTCAGTCATGATCCATTGACTGAATGAATACAACATGTACAACATTTGCATCATACTATCAAAATACACACAGAAGAGACATATCTTTTTGTCAACATTTTATTTACATAAAATAAACTATGGTTATCTAATTTGAGGAAAGCAATGTTTTTAGTATTATGACAAAATGACCAGCGTGTTGATATCTTATAAATACAGGAGCATTATAAAAATAGAAATTTCTTTTCATAGTGTAAATTACATTGGATATACAATGTACTGATAACCATAAAAAATGAGACAAATAATTCTGCCAACAGTATGCTTGATTAACACATGTAGTTCTGGTCAAGGTCAAATATAAATTTCCATACTTTCATAGAAAATGAAGAAGATGTGAATAAGATACTTGATTCTATATGTCCTTACTTTCTTTGTTATAGAATAGTGCTGGCTTTATTTCAGAATGTGATGCCTTAGATGCTACATGTTCAGAATCTTTAACCTCAGTTTCTGTAACCTGGCAACCATTTACTGATGAACAATCTGGAATAGCTAGGTATGGAAAAGTACTTTTGGATAATAATTAGGGCCCCGCTGAATGGCTGGTTGCCTTATAGTGATCAGTCCGTCCGTCTGTCCATCCGTCTGTAACAAATTGTGTCCGCTCGATATCTAGAGAACCTTTATGATTTCATACTTTATACTTAACATGTATATTAACCAATACCAGAGGGTGTGTCATAATGTTTGTACAACTTCCTAGGTCAAAGGTCAAGGTCAAAAACTTTGGTTTCAGTTGACAACCCCATGTCATATGGTAAAGATCGTGTCTGCTCTATATCTTGAGAACCTTTATTATTTCATACTTTATACTTAACATGTATATTAACCAACACCAGAGGGTGTGTCATAATGTTTGTACACCTTCCTAGGTCAAATGTCAAGGTCAAAAAGTTTGGTTTCAGTTGACAACCCCATGTCCTATGGTAAAGATCGTGTCCGCTCTATATCTTCAGAACCGTTATGATTTCAAAGTTTATACTTGACATGTATATTAACCAACACCAGAGGGTGTGTCATAATGTATGTACAACTTCCTAGGTCAAAGGTCAAGGTCAAAAACTTTGGTTTTCAGTTGACAACTCCATGTCCTATGTTAAATATCGTGTCCGCTCTATATCTAGAGAACTGTTATGATTTCAAAGTTTATACTTGACATGTATATTACCCAACACCAGAGGATGTGTCATAATGTATGTACAACTTCCTAGGTCAAAAGTCAAGGTAAAAAACTGGTTTCAGATGACAACCACATGTCCTATGGTAAAGATACAAATTTTTACCACACGTTATTCACAGCAGAGACAACAGAGATGGCTCCCATCTCAATGATGTCTAGTTGAGTCTACTTTGGCATAGTTTTGATAAAATGTAAAATTGTAGTTAGGTAGATGGGGTATTTAAATGTTCAACAATAGATTTTTCTTAAACTTCTGATTGAGACTTTTTGGTCAATGGGCATTCAAATTTCAATATAAAAACTGGGGGTCATGGACATTGTTTTTTCGTTAAAATACATTGAAATTAACAAAATCACAGTTATTTTATATGGGTTATTAAGGGGAAACTTAATTTTTGTTTATTGAGGAGTCATTAAACGATGGAATTGCTAAAATACAATGAGAGAATTGGTTTTCATAAACACTTCCGAAATATCAAATTAAAATAGGGGGTCACAGGCCTTATTTTCTTGCAAAATAAAAAAAAAACACACAAATTGTCCTATCAAATTCAATGTATTTATCTGCGACGAGGAGGTTTTTTTTTAACGACCTTGACTACCCATGAGGGTCTTGCACAGTCGGTAATTATCTGCACTTGATTTTAAAAGGAGTTTTTTCTGAAAATTGTAAAAACACTTTAACAACATTTAATTTTTTTATATGTTTAATCTTTAAATTTCAAGCTTCAGATGTTTCTGTTGTATATTGAATGATACATGGTAAAATATTTTTAAACCAATAAAGGATTTTTGCTACATGCCCAGAACTTGGATGCTCAGAAAAAGACATCTGATCTACCCTTAGAGTCCATGGTTTTGTGATTGAACTGATATATAAAAGTATTGTTTGTTCAAATTAAAATAATTGTAAGAGACAAGTAAATTGAATTTTCCTTTTTTCTCATCATTTAAGTGGGTCTTTTTTTTTTCTTTTTTTTTTGCATCACACAGCCTTTGTTAAACAAAATACTGTGAAGTGAAGTTGTATGCCTAGTTTGATACACATATATCTACCTCACTAGGCAAAGGAGCTGATAAAAGAAAAATTGTTTGCTTAAACTAAATGTTTCTAATATAACTATTAGCCTGTGTCATGTTCAATTGGTTGGTCATTCTTAACTAAAGAATTTTCAATTCTCTATTTCAAAGTCTGCAATCTTAACTATTTTGATGTATAGGCTTATTGATTATTTAATTTTTTTTTTCATTGTATGTGTTTTTGAGATATTTTTTAATTTATTTTACCTAGCCTAAAAGTACCAGACAACTTTCTGCACTAGCCTTTTGAAAATTTTATAATATGTGGATTAGTTTTAAAGTTGATAAGTCTGTGTATGTTATTGGAGCATTAAAAAAATCAAATAATGTATTTATATTTTTCTGATAGATATGAGATAGCTGTAGGGACTACTCCAGGGGGTGGACAGATTAAAACTTTTTTCAGTATACACACAGAAACCAATTATTATACAGTAACTGGACTGAATTTAAGTGGTCTGACAAAGGTAATTATTTTACTAAATATTGTAATACTTATATATGTCCCACTATCTAGAAGTTGTTTTTCATATAAAGTTCTGTACTTGCAGTAAAATGTACAAATAATTATATCATTCCATTAATTATTGCTTAGTTGTAAATATTTATCCACTAGGATAGCGAAAACAAAATTCAAATACAAGTTTATTTTACCCTCTGTAAACAAAGTTTGGGGTGTATATTGAGGAATCAGCCTGTCTGATCATCCATCTGTCTGTCCGTCTGTCTGTCTGTCCGTACCAACTTCTTTATCCTTTGTTCAATTCACTTCAAACTTAGTACAATAATTGATCATGATATGCAAATGTCACCATCGGAAGGGTTTTTTTTCTGTTTAATTTATCCAGAAATATGTGCTTTTTAGAACCGGTCATCTCATCACAACTCCTCCATCGTGGTTTATTGTATCTACATGAAGCTTAGTACATGTACATTCTCAGAATCCTAATGTGCAGTTCTGCATGTGGATAGAATGTTCCCATTAGTTGAGTTTTTTAGAATTCTTTCACACTAGAAATTTTGGCCCTGTCAAGCACCTACCTTTTAGCAACTTCTCCTCATGTTTTATCATATCTACATGAAACTTGGCATATTGTTAGATCCTTTTATACAGATGTTTATATGGGTATAATATTTTAGATTTCCATTATTATGCCACCTTTGAAATTTTTTTCCCTTTTAAGAACCAACCTTTTCATTGGAACCCCTACATAGATCATATCTGTATCAAATCTTGTGGGGCAGTGTTAAACAGTCTCATATCATTGATACATCACATGTATATGTTTCAATTAGGTACACTGGGAGATTGATTATCCAGTATATTGCTTTGAATTAACAGGTGTTTGTATTCACTAAAGGTAGTTTAAGGTGCTACAAAGTCAGGATTTTCCGGTACATAACCCAAGATGTTTTACAGTTTACAGATGCATGGATTCATTAAAGATACCTATGGTGCAGGATAATCAAGCATACTACTTTTGATATTTTTACAGGTGTGTGTATCCCTTATTGGTTTTATCAGTGCAGGACTATCCAGTATATTACTATTGATATTTTTGTAGGTATATGTATCCATTAAAGATACCAGTGGAGCAGGATTATCCAGTATATTACTTTTGATATTTTTGTAGGTACATGTATCCATTAAAGGTACCAATGGAGCAGGATTATCCAGTATATTACTCTTGATATTTTTGTAGGTACATGTATCCATTAAAGATACCAGTGGAGCAGGATTATCCAGTATATTACTCTTGATATTTTTGTAGGTATATGTATCCATTAAAGATACCAGTGGAGCAGGATTATCCAGTATATTACTTTTGATATTTTTGTAGGTACATGTATCCATTAAAGATACCAGTGGAGCAGGATTATCCAGTATATTACTCTTGATATTTTTGTAGGTACATGTATCCATTAAAGGTACCAATGGAGCAGGATTATCCAGTATATTACTCTTGATATTTTTGTAGGTATATGTATCCACTAAAGGTACCAATAGAACAAGAATTATCCAGTATATTACTCTTGATATTTTTGTAGGTATATGTATCCATTAAAGGTACCAATGGAGCAGGATTATCGACTGTTAGTTCATCCAATGGTTTATACTTATCTTACCTTAGTCAGGGACTGCCTCCTCTATCACATATTGGTATTGCTGATGTTACAGAATTGTCAAATGAGGATATGTAAGTCTGTTCATATGTATGAATAAAGGAGAAGTGTGGTATATGTCAATGACAACTAGATGGCAACTTTATGACACAAAAACAAAATACATGTTGTGGTAACATACAGTCAACAACACGTGACAGTTGTCTATGAATTCTCTAAATCACCCAGAGTCAATTGAACTTAGACTATCAAAGATCTGCCATCAACAACTAATTCTCTAAATTACAAAAATATTAAGATACAACAAAACATGTTCAGTGATGAATTTTTCTTTGTTTATGTCAAAGTCAATTTTCTTATCAAGATTTATAGCATGTACCTCTTTCATTTTCAGTGATTTCCAGGAGAGTTTTGACACATACAGGGCATCATGGGATGTGTCAGGTGACCCTTGTCCTGTCATTAGATATGATTGGCTGATACAGAGGCTTGATGGGAAGGTTGTCATGGCTTGGCTGGATATGGGAGGTATGAAGTAATTGTGTTAAATATGTAAAGGAATTGCTGATGTTAGAATTCAGTCGAATGTTGATTGTATCATGGAAGTATTATATTGACAGGAATAACAACAACGCCAGTTCAAAGGTTTCATCTGCGTTACCGCCTATCTTCCGATTACTCGTTAATTAGTTTACGATATGGAATGATATTTGATTCTCGGCATGTGATCAATCAAATCACTGACACTTTTTGGTCATTTTCGTGTTCACCGAAAATTATGAACAGACGGTTGTTGTCGTATATAGGTACGAAGTAACCCGAATAGTTCACTCATTACATTCCGCTGCTGTACGCTGCCGATTAGAGTCATTCATTCAATGTTGATTCTAGTCTATTTTTCCTATTTATGTCTTTTTCGATCTTGATAGTTTAAACCGACAGTTATCACATATGAAATTGGTGAAAAAGGGTGGATCATGTTCAATTTTATTATTTAAAGATAGTTAAGAACCATTTCTGAAAGTTAAGAAGATGATTGTACAAAAAATATGTTTTGACCCCCTTTTCTTAAATACGAATAATCAAAGTCTTTTGTGTGTAACAATCAATTAAAATATTCACAATTTTAAATCTATTCTTTAATATGTACATAAACTAATTCATATAAAATACATTTGCGGTTAAAAAGATAGCGTCAAGCTCATTTTGTTTGGTTGTTTTTATTTTTACTGTAACGTGTTATATTAATACTAGTATTCAATTGTTAACACTTTTTTAAATAGATATAAATTTAACATGTTTTACGAACTTATTATCCCGATTTGAATTGTCCAGTTTCAATAATGTAATCAATGACATTTATTACAAATACATAAACCTAAAATACTTGAAATTAAATATCCTTTTTATAAATCTCGATAAACTTGGCACATTTCAACAGTAAAATATTTTATATAAAAAAGAAGATGTGGTATGATTGCCAATGAGACAACACTCCACAAGAGACCAAATGACAAAGAAATTAACAACTATAGGTCACTGTACAGCCTTCAACAATAAGCAAAGCCCATACCACACAGTCAGCTATAAAAGGCCCCAAAATTAAAATGTAAAACAATTCAAACGAGAAAACTAACGTCCTAATTTATGTACAAAAAATGAACGAATAACAAATATGTAACACATTAAAAAACGACAACCACTGAATTACAGGCTCCTGACTTGGGACAGGCACATACATACAGAATGTGGCGGGGTTAAACATGTTAGCTGGATCCCAACCCTCCCCTAACCTGGGAGAGTGGTGTAACAGTACAACATAAGAACGAACTATAAAAATCAGTTGAAAGAGGCTTAACTCATCAGATGGATAAAAATACAAATACTACAAATACAAGTGGATATGGCTGGGTACTTGTACATCCAAACAACAAAAAGATACTAAGTACAGATCTGAGAGTACTCGCAGTTACTGACAGCTAGTTCAAAGCCACTAACAACTAATAAAAAAAATCATGCATCTAAGACTAAATTATCAATCCGTACACATCCAACATCCAATGGATTTAGTGTAAAGACGTCATAAACAGTCAGAGAAAAACATGACCTTGTGCAATGCCAAGATACAGGTATCGACAGATTGTAGATTCATGAATGTGTATATGTATATAACAATAATATTTAGTTTGCTTTTAATTTACTGATAACAAAATCAATATTAGTACCAATAAAAACAATATTTAATGATCTAATTACAGTGTTGAATTGGTAACCTTTTAGAATAAGTTTATTTAAAGGATCGATAAGTTTACCAGGATCGTTTATGAATTTCCAATAACAATATTGCCGTAAAAATGAGGATGTGCAATCCCGTTTGAAATAAGTTTTCTACAGGTACAACCAAACTTCAAAACCAAATCTTTATATTTGTGGAAGAATTTAGTAAAGGTTTTAAGTAATTTGTGGTAACGAAATCCCTAGCTTAATAATTTACCAGTAATACATAGATTACGTTCGTTAAAATCAAAAACGTCACAACAGACACGGGCATAGCGAACGAGTTGTGAAATATAAACACCGTAAGATGGTGCCAAAGGAACACCACCATCCAAAAAGGGAAAATTAACAATAGGGAACGAAAAGTCGTCCCTTTTGTCGTAAATTTTAGTGTGGAGTTTCCCGTGTAAAACCGAAATATCTAAATCTAGGAAAGGACAGTTGTTACCGTTTAAATTTGATTTATTCAAAGTAAGTTCCTTTGGGAAAATTTCAGCAGTATATTGAGAAATTTCTTCATTATTTAACAAAAAAATATCATCAAGATAATGGTAAGTGTTGTTGAATTTATCAATTAAATGCAATTTAGACGGGTCTTTACTGTGTTTGGTCATAAACTGTGATTCATAACAGTACAAAAACAAGTCTGCTATCAAAGGGGCGCAATTAGTGCCCATAGGAATACCTACAACCTGTCGATAAATTTTGCTGCCGAAACATACATAAATATTATCAAGGAGAAAATTAACAGCTTCAATCATCTCCTCACACCTCCAGTAAGTATATCTAGCATATTTACCTTTCTCATTAGAGAAGAAGGCTTTAAATTAGTTGCAGCAAATACATTTGCATTCAGATTTACCAAACGACCATTTAATTAAATAGTCAAATTTTTGTTTGATAAGATTGTGTGGAAGTGTAGTGTAAAGAGTAGAAAAGTCAAAACTGTCAACAGAATCAAAAGGACCATCAAAAGCACGTAATTTATCTAAAACTTCCAAAGAATTTTTTACACTCCAAAAATAGTTAATTCCACTATTTTCATATTTTTTATTACAATAGTTTATGATAAGCTCTTTGAAAGTAGTTAAGGAACTTGGTAAAAGCACTGAAAGATTAGTTGTAGAACACTTACTAGAGGCCGAGATGAAACAGTATTTTACTGGTTTTTTGTGTAGTTAAGGTAACCAATACATAGTAGGGACCTTCAAATGTTCAGAAGAAGCCTTAAGCTGTGATGTGGTTATGAAATGTTTGTTAACCATATGACTCTCTGTGGGGCGCATGGACTTGAATGTAGATGAATTTAAAATTTCATTCTTAAGAACTTCCGTGTAGTATTTACGGCATACCACCACCACATTGTTGGCTGCTTTGTTGGCCGGTACAAACACAAACGGCTTTGAAAGTTCTTGAAGTTTATTTCTTATTCTGGAAATAGGCGTATTATGTACTCTATTATTTACTTCTAAATTATTTTCAAAATGTGATATTGTATTATCTACCACATTCATACATTTATTTAAATAAGAATCATTAAGAGATTTTTTATCAGATTTTTCCCATTTACACCAATTTTTACAAAACGAGGAAAGAGCATCTTTGGTGACCTGACGACACTGTTTCCAATCTATTTTAGATGGAGGACGATAAACAAACAGTAAAAACCAAAAATATGCAAAATAAATACAACTTTCCATGTTAAACTGTTGTAGTTTAAACAATTCTCGTCCGTTTTTTCAAGTTTGTTACATCATTCGATTTCTTTCTGAAGGTAGAAGTTTTATATGATACAGCGCCACCTTGTCATTAATAAACTAGGGATTTCCCACAGGTGCTTTATAATTACTGTACTCGATAAAATCACATGACTGATAAGAAATTCCAGATGCCATTTTACAACCGCGGTATCACAGATAGTAACCAAAGGGGTCTTGTCGCTGAGACAATAATTGGATAAAATCATATGACTTTAGTATAGAGCTCTGCAGGTCATTAATACATGCTAATTTATCGTTGTTATTCCTTCTCATTTTACTTCCATGATTGTATATACTAATTTTAAGAATTTGGAAATGTGGGACTAAAAGAAAGATTCTTGAGCTTATTTTCCTACATTTTTATTGTAGTTAAAACTGCAGGAATGAATGATGAACTTGAGATGTTGAATGGAGAATTATACTATTCTCTACTGAGAGTAACTAATGCTTTGAACTACACCTACATGATCAGATCTAATGGCATCACTGTCAAACAAGAACCTCTCATCCCAGGAAAAGTATTTGATGGAGACCTGTTAGGATATGATCTGAATTTCCTTAATTCCAAAGCTATGGTGACAGTCAATTGGGATGGATTTGGTCTCCCAGTCAGTACACAAACTCAAGTAGATGTTATTTCAGGTAAACTTTGTCTTTTTTGCGCTTTAAATTGATATAAAGTAAAACGTGTATAAACCGGCTGGCTATTGGACTATGAAAAAGGGCCAACTTGGACAGTGGGTCGGTTTATTCAGGTTTCCTGTTTTTTTTTGTACAATACAATACTTTATTCTCTAAAAACAAATACAATCAAAGGTACAGAGAATGACATGCAAAAACAATATACAAATAATACAGGCAGTTATTGACTTGTGACGTCAGATATTTTGCATGTAAAAGTTCTAAACTAATAAAAACAAATACAGTAATAATCTATTTTGATTCAGCCATGCTGGATCTATGCGATCACTCTGGTTTTGGGGATGGTGCAGAATACTTAGTTGAAGACATGTCATGAAACTAATTATGTGTTTTTATGACTTGCAGAAACTTTCTACACCATTTTAATCATCAACTGCCAACTTTTGACATGTAATTTGCCCTTAAATTAAGAAAAGATTGGTTGAACAACCCGTTTATTTTAGATATGCACTTGCATATAGTTCCTTTGTAAATCAAAATGTATAATGATTTACTATTTATGAATTAATTTGAAAAAGTATTTGTACATCAATTGATATGTACTATTATTTGTCTGTTTGTCTTTTTATTTTTGGCCATGGCGTTGTCAGTTTGTTTTCGATCTATGAGTTTGACTGTCCCTCTGGTATCTTTCGTCCCTCTCTTGAATCAGTTGATAAGAATTTTGAAAGTATAGCATTAGTATCTTATGGTTGTGTAAGTTATTGTTCAATGAAATTTGGGTTAACAAGTGTATTAATATATCTAAGTTGATTCCCACACTTTTTTGAAATGGTATTACTACAATTCTTTCCATAGGCAAGTAAGAGTCAGTATGATTATCAACTGTCATGACTTTCAAATAATTACACTCAAAGGTGTAAGTATTAATTGGAAACAACCCCAGTCTTATATCACCACAGTTAATATCTCATGACCTGTTACATAATTAAATAGACACAATTTATTACACACCTAACTGAATACACACATTCTTGACCTCAAAAGTAAACCTACAAATGTATTATTTATTTTGATCTACACTACATTCAAATATTCTGTTAATGTATAAAAAATGCAAGCAAATTTTATTTCACTTGTAAAGTCAGTGTCATTATCATCTGACATAAGTCAATAATCAAGTTCTAATTAATTAGTTACAATTATCAGAAATTTGATTGAAATAATAAACAAAATTGCATAACTCTTACCTGAGCATTTTCTGCAATAAAATTTATTTGTTTGTTCTACATTTATATCCCATTATATTGCTATTTAACAGTAAATGGAAATATCTCAGCATTAGGTAATTGTAGATTCAAGATTCAATATTTTATTATTGTACATTTAAATTTGAATACAGGAAATGTATTTTTTCTTAATGAAGAATGAACACCAATTCAGATAAAAAATAGTTATTATTTTTTTTTATTTTTTTTGTTGAGAAAGTGCATTTATAAGGCCTCTTTCTGGAAATTATTTAGCCAGTTATAATTAATGGCATATAAACAAATATATCACTTTTTTGACGGTTTCCCTTTCCATTCTTGTCAATGCCATTAAATTGCAAATAATTATTAAAAATAAAAATCTGACAGAGTCTAAAATTGAAATATCAATATATATATCAATATTTGCATCAATATTGCAAAATTCCCTACCTTTAGACATTAACATAGAAATTTTACAGAAAGATTGGAAATGAAAAAAGAAAAAAAAAATTGAAAACAGTAGAACCAAAAAGAATATCAGACTAGCTATGAATATGGCTGGATCACAACATCGACGATGCTTTGATTATTAAAAGTGATTTCATTGTTTGTGTGGAAATATATGTGACATGAACATAACAAGTGTTCCCTGTCTGTTCACCATTTTACTATTGCAGGATCGTGTCTTCAGTCATCGTATTCATTGGCTTTAGAAATTTCAGAAATCGGTTGTACCCAAATGCAGAAAATATAGTATTATTCCGTTTTTTACATATCCTTTTACATGTCAAATCGATAGAATCAGTCTCCGATTCATCAGTTTCACTTTCACTTTGATTTCATTGCTTTCATTTGCATTAGAATCCTCGCGTTGTTTGGATTGTTTTACTTGATTTCCATTTTACTTCCATCGTTCATTTCCTACGTTGGTATAGCCTATTAAAAAGCAAAAATTTTATCAAACGAAATTTCATCATCGAAACATTGTTGTACAACGTACCATACCCATAAACTCGATAATGGAAGGTCGTCGAACAGGTCTTCTCCATTATCAGTGTCATCTGTTTTGGGGTTTACAACAGGAAGCCCAGCATTTAGAAAACACAATGTAAATTTATCACTCCGCGATTTAAGAATCATATTGATGTAACAACGCAAGTTCTATGCGTGATATATTTGGCGACAATGTATTCAATTCTTTCTTTTTTTTTATTTAAATGCAAATTTAATTGTGTTTCAAAAAAACAGATTGTTACTGTAAGTTCACAGTTTAACATCTTACTAATTGGTTATCCTAAAAAAAACACCTTGTGTCAATTTTGTTTTGATTGCATATCGATCAATTCTGATCATTTCAAATTGATTGAACAAAACGGCTTTGACAGATTATAGTGAATGTAATTAAGAGTATTGGGACTTCATTATTAGACAGGAAATCGGAATTCACAGGGTCCGGTTTAAAAGGCTTTGAAGCGAGAACATGGGACTTCAATTTTTAGGCTGGAATGGACAGGAAACTGGTTTATTCAGGGTCTGGTTTACCCAGGTTTATTTAATTTTTTTATACGCCAATCAAAATTTTGACGGGACGTATTATGGTATATAAATGTCCGGCGTCCGTCTGTCCGGCGTAAAAATGTCACACCGTAACTTGAGAACAACTTATCCAAATTTCATGAAACTTAACATAGTTGTTTCTTATGATGGTCAAACGATATGTATGCTTTTTGGTGAAAATAAGATTAAAACTTTTTGAGTTACGGGACTTTGTAACTAAAACAGGGGTGTGTTTTTTTCACATGTTGCGCTGTATTTCAAAAACGATTTATGATTATTGCTTAAAACTTTACACACTTCTTAGTTATATTTATCTGAAGATCTGTATACATTTTCATGATGATTCTTTATTTTATTTTTGAGTTATTGAATTTTTATTGAGCTTTTTGGTAAAAAAGGTACGCTTTTTGTTTGGTAAAAAAGGTAGTCTTTTTTGGTCACATTTCGCGCCGTATCTCTATTGCTTAAAAGTTTACACACTTATGTTTTGCCGGGCTTCCATATACATCCCACCACCAGCTCCACTAAATAAAGGGGGATTTCAAAGGAATGAGTCAGGATATACTTAGCATGACTTCCTGTACAACCCCCTAGTTATTCCAAAAACATTTATTATGTTTTTTTCACAAGATAAAGAGCGTATCATGCGCTCGCGGCGCAGCTGTTTATTAAGTTCTTTTTAATGCTTCTGATTTTTTTTGGATGCAGTTATTTGTCTTTTTATTAATGTCTATTTGTGAATGGAATACATGAAAATGTATAGTTTGACCCTTTTGGTTTGAAAATAATGATTCTTAAACGCTGCACTAATATGATTTTAGTATGCACAAGACATGTTTTTATGAGTAACCTTCAAAAAAGACATGTGACCAGAAGTTTATAGTTGCCATCATGTAAAATTGGCACCAGGGTTTTTGTTCAAATATTTTTTAACTTTCAATCGCTTCTGTTTGAGATGACGTTTTTTACTTAGCGGAACTGAATTTGATTAAATATGACATATTGACACAAACCCAGGGTGCTTAAATGTCACTTTGGTACTGAGGGATGCTTTTTGAAAATGCTGTTGAAATGAAACAAAGGAAATTTGCCTTTCTTCTTTTTTATGACCATAAAATTTCTTTACTGATTTTTTTATGCAGGAAATCCTGGCCTCCAAGTAAATGAAGATAATATTGAATACAAGGATAAAAACCAAGCAGTAGAATTTTATGAGGTTGCCTTGGGAACAGACAGGAGATTCTCACAAACCAGAGACAACATTGTTCCATTTACTAATGTGGGAAAAGACAAAAAAGTGACCTTTTATGATCTTGACCTGGTTCCAGGTACAGGAATGTATTACTTCACAGTGAAAGCATACAGTGCCTCCCACTCTGTTGCTATAGTAACATCAAATGGATTTCATGTTGGATATGACGGTGGAGTTATTGGTAAGTTAAAATCATGTTTGTCTGTAGTTCATTCAAGTTAGGCATAAGACTGGCAATCAATTAATCAATTAAAAAAGATATCATAAAAAATTCGGTTTAAATTATATATATAATCCTCAAGCCTGGTAATTTTTATGCATCCGATAAGTCTGTTGATTTCCTTTACATATGACTTTGAAGGAACGGACACCATATGAACAGAATTACCAGCCAGCATCTTATTAGATTAGCCAATGGTTGATTGTTTAAGTCCTGTTACAAATTTTTATGCTTATCCAGAATGATATTAAACAGTTGGTGGCTTCTAAATACTGATAAGGTCATAGAAGGATTAGACAATGTTTACCATTTCATAAAACTGTCTAGGGGAAAAGCTAACTAAGAGCAATTAGGTTTATTGTTAATTGCTGAACATGCAAACATTGCAAATATTTCAAAAATAGTCAGGACATTGATTGTCATCTTTCATCTTTCATCAAAGATTACCAAATTAGGACAACAATTTTATATAATGGACTTAAATATATTAATATTTTTTTACTGATTCCCATATGTTTAAAAATTTCACAGGGTATAACGCAGCATTGAGTTTATGACATATTTGGATACTGTAAATTCAGAAATTATTGTGTGCATTTATTATTGCGATTTTTGAAGAATGGACAAAAATGTGAGATTGATTATTGCTATTATAGGAAAATCTGCACACAGATATGGGAATGTGAGTTCTTATTATTGCAATAATCACCAAGTCGCATTATTTGCATTAATAAAAACCTCACAATAATTTCTGAATTTACAGTATTTATTGCTTTCGTTGTTTCTTTTATTTTTTGTGCATTAAAACTGGTTTTAACCAATATGATTAAGAATATGATAACCTGTATGTTAACTCTTTGGTTGCATATTATTTCAAAAATTATAAAAACTATCTTGAGTAAAGATATATCATTATGTATATTGTGATATAATCTATATTTATCAGAACATTTATATATATTTTATTTACATCCAATTGCTTTCTTACAGCTGGTACTATTGTGATGGGAGACTACGTCAGTATAGATACATACTTAGATATACAGTTTGAAGGTTTCTTCTCCAAATTAGAGATATTGATGTACTATGTGGCTGTGTCTAACTACACAGGTGTTAATGGTACTGATTGTAAACATTATGTAAGTTCCAGAAAACATTCACAAACCTGATTATTTGTATGAGCCTTTTTCTCTTGCTTATGAGTACTATCAGATCTTTACATGTACTTAATGTCTTTTTTAGTTGTGTGGATGTATAAATACCCTGCCACATCCGGTCTATGTTTTTGTTAGATGTCTTTCTGCTTTGTATGGATCTGATGAGGATTTTTAACCGGATTTCCCAAAAAATAATCGGTTATTGATTTGGAGATGTACGGTGGGCGGGCGGGCGGCTGCCAAACAGTGTCAGTGCATTTACTCAGGAACCCTTCTACCAAAGCTTTTCAAATATTTATATGTTGTTACTGATGACAAAATGGAGGTCGAGTTCAATATTGACGATTTTCTCTTTCTCCGTTTAGGAGTTATGGTTCTTAAAAGATTGAAAAATAGTGTTTCCAGTCATGTCCGTGCTTTAACTCATGAACCTTTCAACCAAAGCTTTTCAAATTTTAATATATTGTTACTGATGACAAAATGGAGGTCAAGTTCAATATTGATGATTGTCACTTTTACTGTTCAGGAGTTATGGTCCTTGTGATATTGAAAAATGCCAGGACTCAAATCAATATTAAAAAATCTGGTTTGCTGTCACTCTGACAGTCTCTTGTTATAGTTTGTTCTCATGTTGTACTGTTACACCACTGTCCAAGGTTAGGGGGACGGTTGTCACCTTCAAATTAGTTTAACCCTGCCACATTCTGTTTGTGCTTGTCCCAAGTTAGGAGCCTGTAATTCAGTGGTTGTCGTTTGTTGCTGTATATCATATTTGTTTTTTCGTTCATTACTTTGTTCATGATTTAGGCCGTTGATTTTCTCATTTGAATTGTTTTACATTTGTCATTTCGGGGCCTTTTATAGCTGACTATGCAGTATGGGTTTTGCTCATTGTTGAAGGCCGTACGGTGACCTATAGTTGTTAACTTCTATGTCATTTGGTCTTGTGGAGAGTTGTCTCATTGGCAATCTTACCACATCTTCTTATTTTTATATTATTTAAAAGCATTCACCTCTTCACAATACCAAAGGTTAATATTATTGCTAGATGGAGTTTGAATTCATCATTTCAATCTTTAAAGATGTTTACCTAACTTTGTTGACTAATATGGGGAATTTTTGCAGATTTTCCAGAAGGTGAACTTAGTCACTTTTTTGTCTCGCCTTGACGGAGTCAAAAAGCGAGACATAGGTATGCTGTTTCCGGCGTTGGCGGCGGCGTCAACAATGTATTAGTTTGTGATTAGATCTAGTTCATGGTGAACCACTAGTGGTAGGTCAATGATATTTGGTATGCAGTTGTATTAGCATTGGCACAACTCATTACCATGGAGATTATTTGGCCCCGCCCCCTCAGTCAAGGTCTATTGACTTTGAAACTTTTCATAGTTTACATGTATAAGTTTGTGATTAGGTCAATTTATGGGGAACCACTAGTGGTAGGTCAATGATATTTGGTATGCAGTTGAATAAGCATTGGCATATCTCATTTCCATGGAGATTATTTGGCTCCGCCCCCTTAGTCATGGTCTATAGACTTTGAAAATTTTGCTAAGTTAACATGTATTAGTTTGTGATTAGGTCAGTTCAAGGGAACCATTAGTGGTAGGCCAATGTTAATTGGTGTTCAGTTGTATAAGCATTAGCACATCTCATTTCCATGGAGAATATTTGGCCCCGCCCCCTCAGTCATTGTCTATTCACTTTGAAACTTTTGCTTAGTTTACATGTATTAGATTGTGATTAGATCAGTTTAAGATGAACTGCTAATGTTAAGTCAATGATATTTGGTATGCAAATTTATTGGCATTTGCAAGTATCGTTTCCATGGAGATGATATAGCCCCACTCCTGATCATGGTTCATTGACTTTGAAACTTTTACATAGTTTACAAGTTAATGTTTGTGTTTAGGTTTGTTTAAAGGGAACGACTTATAATAAGTCAATGGTATTTGGTATGCAGTTGTATTAGCATTGGCACATCTCACTCCATGGAGATTGTTTAGCCATGTACCTTCAGTCATGGTTCATTGATTTTGAATATTTGCATAACTTACATGTTAAGTATTGCTATTTTAATTTCAACATTTGCATTATCAAAATTACAAAAAGGCGAGACATATCTCTGTGATAACAGTTTATGAAAATATTTTAAGGTAATATTTCCTAGTTTTGCTTATTTAAAGAAATCTTAGAGTTTAGCCAATTGAATATTTGTTCCATTTTTTTAATGTTTTTTTTGTTTTTTATCCAGTATTATTTATTGACATTCATTTTAAGTATCAAAACATGCCTTTAATTCAGTTTGCTTCATTCTTGCCAAAATCATGCTTTTGGGGCAGTTTTTATATGTCGTTAGTGCAGACTATATTGTGAAGTTACAATGAACCATTGATGTTCAACACAGTAAACAAGTTTTGTTTGTAATTAGCCAGAAATGCAAGAGGGGCTATTGGAGGGACACATATGTTTTGTTAAATATAAATAACAAATATGTTTTTGCATACAGATTGATGGTGGAAAGGCTACAGAAGAAGAAAAATCCAGGATATTTAATGTGTTTCCTGTCACAAATATAAATCAGAATACATTTTACAAAGCAGAAAATTTAGATCTAGAATTGGGAAAAGCCTATACAGCTTGGGTATTAGGTAGGTTGAAATTAACTGGTTTTTAAACGACCGCAAAACTTGTCGTATATTGGTATGACGTTGGCATCGTCGTCATCTGAAGACACATTGGTTTTCGCACAATAACTTTAGTTTAAGTGAATGGATCTCTATGAAATTTCACCATAAAGTTCAATACCACAAAAGGAAGGTTGGGATTGATTTTGGGGGTTATGGTACCAACAGTTAAGGGATTATGGGCCAAAAAGAGGCCAAAAATAAGCATTTTTCTAGTTTCCAGACAATAACTTGTGGAACGGTGTATGGATCTTTCTGAAATTATACCACAAGTTTCCATACCATAAAGGGATGGTTAGGATTTGCTTTGGGGGGTTGTGGCTCAAACCATTTAGGAATTAGGGGCAAAAAAGGGGGAAAAAGAAGGTTGTCCTGGTTAATGGACAAATACTTTGGTACAAAACATGATTTAAAGCAGTGTAAGGGAGGTAATTCAAATACATCATTTGAATTACCTCCTTTACACTGCTTTTAAATTATGTATAAAGTAATGGTTAATGAACATTTAAGACAATTTAAAAGCAGTGTAAGGGAGGTAATCCAAATACAACGTTTTGATTACCTCCCTTACACTGCTTTTAAATTATGTTTAAAGAAATGCATATTTATAAAGGAAGACCAGTAAAAATATCTGCAAATGTTGCATCTTTTTTTTTTTTACAAAAAAAATCCATATGAAAGATTTGACACCATATTTAAAATTCTATTATAAAATAGATTAAGTTAGCACTATGGTAATTTTAAATGGGTAATTATGGCTGCAAACTCCATTGGAAATTTGAATTGAGATTATGACCATATCTTGAGGGAAAAAAAATTTTTGGGGGAAAAAGGGGGGGGAGGGGTAAAAAGAAATTGTGGGGGGTCAATTTTTTCTCATTTCAGATTTCAGAAATTAAAAAGAAAAATTCTTCAAATATAATTTTTTTTGCAAAAAAAAAGTGTGGAGGGGGGGGGGGGTTAATACGCAACAGCATAGTGTATTGCACAAAAGCAAAAAATTGAATATAAATTCAAATCATATAACCAATTCTAAGTTCTTTGACTACAGTTATTCTGTGTCAGAAACCTTTAATGTGTCAAATATTTAATTACAATCAAAATTCAGACCTGTATTAAGCGTGAATATTGCGTCCATTTTTGCCCCAACTGTTCAGGGTTGGACCTCTGCGGTCGTATCCAGATGCACTCGGCGAAGCAATTTATTATATACTGCAATTCCTAACATTGAAAAGGATGAATATCCTTAAATAATGCATGCACCATAATCTTTTTATATCAGGTTATTGAATAAAATCTTTTCCAAATTGAAATATTTTTGCTAAGCTCTATATGATAGCATTTTTATTGGTGTATACCTAAAAATACAGAATACAAAATTCAGATTTATGTCATCTTTTCTCAGGAAATCAACTAGGACAATTCTTTATATATTGCTTTTTATAAAAAAAACTGCATTAATATAAAGTTACGAAATTGTACCAAGATATCTTCTGCATTTACTGAAGGTATAAGGTTTTTGTTTTTCCAGGCACTGACAAATCAGGAGAGTGCAGTCTTGTCAGTCATACGTTCATGGTTGACACTACACCCCCTGAAGCAGGAGAATTAACATGTGGACCTGATTATAACATGGTAAGATTTCAATGTGTATCTTTTATTGTAGCAGATATCTATTAAGGCTTATTTTGCTTTTACAGCAGTAATGGTAAATAAGTGTAAAGGTGATGCATTACATAGTATTACCATTCTGCATTTGGAAATAGAATGTAGGTCTCAGTTCATAGAATATAAATACTCTTAGTCTTAGAATGAATATGACTTTTTGTATTTTACTGTCTTTTAATGGTTTTATTAAATCATTTTTTCCCCCAGAATATAACATACACTCCAGACAGCACCACCTTGACTGTAAAATGGGAAGGCTTTAGTGATTCTGAGTCTGACATTGCCTCATACAAAATATCCCTATGGAATAAATCCTCCTGTTCTGATCAAAGCTCTGAAGTACTTATGGTGGACTGGATAACATTGGATTCTAACTATTCCCGGTATATGTTTACAGAACTTCAGCTTAAGGTACGACAGTCAAACAGATAACATTTCCTTTAAAACACAAGACAAAGTTGTTTTTTTGAAATTTGTTTGTGTTCCACTAGTAACAATGCATCTCAGTCAAAAGAAGAGGGCATGCCATCACCCATCAGTAATTCTACACAAGCATCAAAATTAATACACTTTTCAAATGCATTATTTTTAAGATTTTTTAAATATATATTTATGATTTTTGTATGAAATTTCAACTCATAAACAAGATTTTGGTTGATAATTATCTCATTTGAATTAGTACCCGTTATCATAGTTATTATATCAATTTAGGTATTATTTAATTTAAAAGGAGTTGTATGGGTGTAAGCATTGATTTCCATTTGGTTTAAAGCTACAAATGATGACTTTAGATATTGAATTTTTCAGGGAAACATTCCATACATAATAAAACTAATGGCCACCAATCATGCTGGACAGTTTGTCAGTACAGAATCTGCACCTATATTATATGAATCCTCAAAACCAACATCAGGACATGTGGTTGATGGTACAGACTTCTTGAATGACAAAGTTTGGTTTGGCTCTTCAGCTACCATTACAGGTATGAACTAGATTCTGTAAAATGTTATTGATTAAATTGTTGTCAGCATTATCATCAATTTTCTATCTGTGATGAAATATTTTTACGGCAATTTTAGGCTTAAATTGGCAAAAAAAGTACTACTTGAATTATAATAATTGTACATTTTAAAACAATTTAAAATATGCAGCTTAATATTTAGGAGTAGTTTTAATGAAAATGAATCAGTGATCAAGGTTAAGTTTTCGGAGTCAAGTCTGTATCTCAGATACTTTAAGCAAGAGTTCAACTATATTTGGTGTATGGAATGAATGCAACGTATTTATGTCTGTCTGGCAGAGTTCATGTGACCTTGAACTTATTTTCATGGTTCATTGGTCACAGTTTTGTTTTCTTTGGCATACATGTCTGTATGACGGGGTTCATCTGACCTTGACATGGATCATTGAAAATGTTAATTTTATGTAATACTTGTTGTATAACCTTTTTCTCTAAGACTTTCAACATAAATTTGATCTTGATCAGTAAGGCAGACAAGACATTTCAGGATGTGCACTCTTATTTTAATTGTAAAGTGAAAATAAATTGGATTGATTGCTGATGTTAAACACCATTTTCAGCACACTTTGCTATGTCAGTGTGGCCAGTTTTATTTGTTGAGGAAGTTGGAGAGAACCAAGACCTTTGACAGAAATACTGGCTGTCCTAGTCAATTAAGATCGCAACCAAAAGCACTCTGCCGAAACAGCATTCAAACTCACAATCTAAGTGTTGACAGACTAGTGATCTCTGAAGATGCACTTCTAATTCAACCCAGCCACCGAGACCCCTAAAAATAAAGAAGAAGGACTTCTTCAATGATAATTTGAAGAAACAGATATGTGAATTTTTCAGTCTTCATAGATTTATTTCTTTATGAATTTTATCAGTGTATAAATGTCAGAATGTAAATGTTTCTTGTTATAGGTACATTTTTACACTTGGCTAATCCTGAAGGTCCGTCGTGTCCTGTCCAGGCTGTTTCCATGATCAACAATCCAGGCTGGAGAAAACTACAACAGATAGGCTTCAAAGATCCCAGTGGTCAACAATGGTCACTTACTCACAGACAAGAAAATATTCAGAAATTGGTTTATGATAATGCTATTAGTATAAAGCTGGCAAGAGATGTTAATAAAAAACAAATGTATACTGGGGCATACATCAGGTCTGCTGAATTTGAAAATGGTGGAACGTATCAGGTAAGAGTACAATATTATATGAGATTAAAGGGGCATTAGCTGTCAAATTCATATTCACTGATTTGACTCAAATTCTCATATTTGATTTATATCCAAATTACAAAAAGTTCTAAAGAAACAATAAACAATATATTGACTCTTTATAATGTATCAGTATTTGGTGTGTATTTTAGACTAGATGCCATCTAATTAACCATTGAGATGACCTCCCAAGAATGCTGATGGTCTATGACTCGATATATATATAAATATAAATATAAATACACTGACAAGCATGTGCAATCGTACATTTACAATTTTTTTTAAGGTTTATTTGATGTCATGTCCTAGATTAAAAAAATATGTATATCAGCTTTTTAATCTGTATAAAAATGATTTTTTCTGGGTCATTCATAGACATGTTTTACCCCTCCACATTCTGTATGTGCTTGTCCCAAGTCAGGAGCCTGTTATTCAGTGGTTGTCTTTTGTTGCTATCTATTATATTTGTTTTCCTTAAATTGCTTTGTACATAAATCAGGCTGTTTGTTTTCTGGCTTGAATTGATTTAATTTTATCAAACTAATGCTTACTATATGGAATGAGTTTGCTTATTGTTGAAGGCCGTACAGTGACCTTGTTTACATCTTCATCATTTGGTCTCTGGTAATAACTGTCTCTTCCAAGGGTATAAAATTGTCATATTTGCCAGTCAAGACCTAATCTGAAAGGCCAATGACCAAAATGGTATCTTCGATTTAGGTCATGAAAAACCTATGTTGAAGGAATACCTGTTGTTGGATGGTTCTGTTATAATAGAGTATCTTTATGTTGTAGATATTAGTTAAGGCAGCAGGTGGTGCAGGTATACCTGTTACTGGGATCATGTTGTTGGATGGTCCTATTCTAAAAGCGTATCTTTGTGTTGTAGATATCAGTCAAGGCAGCAGGTGGTGAAGGCATACCTGTTACTGGAATCATGTTATGGGACGGTCCTGTTATAATAGACTATCTTATTGTTGTAGATATCAGTCAAGGCAGCAGGTGGTGAAGGTATACCTGTTACTGGAATCATGTTATGGGACGGTCCTGTTATAATAGACTATCTTATTGTTGTAGATATCAGTCAAGGCAGCAGGTGGTGAAGGTATAACTGTTACTGGGATCATGTTATGGGATGGTCCTGTTATAATAGACTATCTTATTGTTGTAGATATCAGTCAAGGCAGCAGGTGGTGAAGGCATACCTGTTACTGGAATCATGTTATGGGATGGTCCTGTAGATGGTATAGCTACTTATGATTACTTAACTAAAGAGGATTGGACTCAATATATTTGTGATTGTTGCCTGGAAGATCCAGTACAACAGGTATCATCTTGTTGTATGAAAAAAAAACATAAATTATTTGGATGAAATATGAAAATAGGTAATCATTGAATATAAAATGCATGAGCAATGAATAAAAGCTGAAATAAAAAGACCCTTTCTAAACAGTTTATATAAACTTTGTAAACTGGTGATTAAACTTTTTCTGAATGTGATATGAATTATATATATGAATTTAAAAATTCATGTCCTATTGTCCATAATAACTGCTATTTAACAAAAAAAATTTTGCTGTCATTTATCTGTTGTTTTGGTTTTTTTTAAATTCCACAGATGATCCTCAAACAGAGGTTAAATGTATTTTGTAGGCTTGTTCATTCTGTAATTGTTCATCATATGATGATATAACCACAACTTTTTCTGCTACAATAAAGCCTCCATATGAGATCGTAAAGAATTCTGACGATTCTATAGTTACTGAACCATTAGATACACAGGTCCCTGTTGCACAGACAGCATTTGGTGTACAGATATTTGCAGGTATGTATATGTTCCGGACCATATGAGTATTTGGACCATACGCGTATGGTCATGACCATATGCGTAGATACTCATATGGTCCGACCATACCCGAATAGTCAGGGTAATTAATACGATGAATGTTGAACAGTAATTGCAGAAGGCATAACTCTTCAAGGTGTCATAAGTTAAGAGTTTCTAAAAATGAAATTTTGACTTAGATAATAATTTGGTAATCATTGTTACATGATTAATGAAATGAAATGAATTTTACTCACAAGTTAAAAAATTATAGTAGAAGCATTTTTGCATAGTCATTTATATTAATTTGTCTTTACGAAACACAATATGTCGACTCCGAAAATAACTAATTTAAAATGAACTGTTAAGCGAGAAGTCAAATGTTTTTCTCATTAGCAATTAGAGCATTGAACCCTCCTTTTTTCTTTATTTTGGTGTTCCAATTTGTTTTTTTTAAATTAACATTTCAAATCATTTTTAGTTATTTAATTTGTTTATTCTCCTCTTTATACGATTTACAATTACGGTAGTTTATACGTGCTGCCCATACTTGCGAACCTCTGACAATGAAAAATCATGTCATCACATGACATGACATGTCAAAAAGCGTGTGAAAACGCGTGATGTAGATGCAGACTTTAATATGACCATTATACAAATTTGTTAATAAAAAAGAACAATATTCTACTGTAAACTTTTATTGCATTCAACAGTGGCCTGTTTTTGCTACTTTCAAAACAACACTACTAGGCAAATATTTAAAATAACTGCCAGTTTGGTTACATTTACATGATAACAAGGCACACAATATATCATTGAGTTCTGATCTGAATTCAGTGTAAATTTCTTTATAATTGAAAATGCTCTCTCACACTCAGAATTGTTATTTGGCAAAACTTAAATATCTTTAACGTTTAAATAGCAAGCTTTGAAAGAATGTCATAACGTTTTTTTGCCATTAAAAATGTCATCTATGTCTGCCATTGCTCCCCACAAATTATATATGTTGCTATTGTCTGGTCAAAACTGGGTAGTTCATCAGAAGACAGCTGGTACTCTGAGAACTGATCGAACAGTTCTGTGATATTTCCATCCCCTTTGGCCTGTGGAAATCTGTTGGCTAGATTTGAAACTGAAAAAAAAAATTATAATTTGAATACCATTGAATGCTTTATCAAATAGTTACATCCTCTCACACATTACATCCTCTCACATGTGTTGTTATGATTGCAAATGATTAATAATGTTTGCAGATGATCCAATATAAATATGAGAGTAACATAGGGTGCACAATGCATTGTTCGGCCCTTGATCACTTTCTTTTGATTCATTTTAACGCGGACTCCCAACTTTTTTGGTACGTACACACGTATCGTTTTCGCTTAGCACTCGGCTTTTTAGACGACAGTAGAGGTCCAGAAAGTGGAGGTATACCTCTTTCTGCTAAACATTACCCCAAAGTGAATTTGAGAGAAAGAAGTAACAAAATCTTAAAACCTACTTACAAACTTACCTGAAGTGAAGGGCTTTTGTTGTTTGTCCATATTGTAAATAAACAATGGCGACTCAACAATTACTTTGAAATTCTCGGTATTTATCGTCTATTAATGAAAACACCCATGAATCACGATCTCTCTAACGACCAAAAAGCAAAACAACGAAAAAGCATGTAATGGCGTGAAAGGTGGCCAAAAGCGTGTACACGCCATGTGACAAAATCCTCGTGCATAAACCGTTGAAAAAGCGTGTATTACACACGAATATCATGTGAGTTGGCAACTATGGTGCTGCCTCTCTATTCTTATGTAGAAACCGCTGTTATTGTAAGATCGTATGAACACACCAGTTACGTGAACATAAGTGGAAATTAGAAGAAATTAAAGAAAATCTAATCTAAACGCCAGGGAAAAAGAAAAAAAATTGTCCATGCCCCAAACGCCTCTGGTTTCACACGTACAAATGAAACTGTCGACAGGATAAAGGTATTTAAAATTGACTCTAGATAACAAAGGCAAATCAACAAATATAACAAGATTCAGACAATATGTAACACAGATAAAGTATTTCAGTTAATAACTTGTGCTGATTTTGGTTCAGAGAACGAACTGTGTCTGTTAAGGAAATTTGAATTTATTCGAGAAACAAAATATATGGTCTAAATACTCCCATATGGTCCGGCCTGTTAATAACCAAACGAGTATATACTCATATGGTCCAACCATACGCGTATGGTCAGACCATACGAGTATATCCATATGGTCATGACCTTACACGTACGGTCCAAATACTTATATGGTCTGGAACATATACATGGTGAAAATGTAGCCATAAAGTCTTGTTTCAATATTAAACTGATGATTCTCTAAAAAATGATGCAAAATTCATTATTTTGGCTTAACTGCGTTTAATTTTGGCACAAAAATTGACTGATGTTGGTATATACAATATAAAAGGACGATTGAATGTTGAAAATAGTAGGAAGATGAAGTATTTAAAGAATAAATCATTTTTCTTTGAGGTCTATGACTGCTCAGATAGTGAATAAACTTTTCAGGTCCCTAATTGAAGCAAGTTTAGATCAGTGGAAGTTTTATGAAGCAGTATAACTTCTTTTCTTTATGCTGCTACAATAAGTAAAACTTTCCTTGACCCCTGCAAAATTTGGAAATCATCCAAATTGTTGAAACACTATTTATCACAGTATTGCATAAGTTTTTTATTGTACATACGTAAAGTTAGCATAATATTTTAGGTGTCATACCTCAAGTAGTAACATGGTGTCAGGCCTACAACAATACACAGAGATTAATGAAGACTAAAATAGATTTATCTTTTGATCCATCGGCAGCATATCATCAGTACAAAGTAGCTGTCAGTCCACAGAAAGATGATGAAGTTAATGTATGTATACTTCTTACTAGCATAACACCAATAAAAATTGTGGTCAACTACACATTTCTTAATAAATTTAGAGTATCTGAGTAATCTCCCCTTATTTTACTAAGTTGAAAAAATTGAATCAAACAAAAAATGTTTTGTATTTGTAAAAACAGTCTTAATAATAAAATAAAACACATAAAATTACTTCATATTGATGAACTGAATCCATTCTTCTCTCACAATTTTCATATTTCATTTACAATCTAGACTAATTGTTTTCTGCTATTGTACAAACCAAGATGGGGGAAGACACCTGATCTTCATTAAGTTTTTTTATCGTTGTAGATAAACTGGTGTATAAAAGTGTATGCAGATGATGAAGAACTAACAGAAATCTGTGGTATAGAACCACCTAGTACTTCTGCCAAACTTGTACTTCACATATGGAATCGTAATAACTATGTACCAGATATATCTGACTTATTTAATGTCTTCTCAGCTAAAGCATACTTCAAAGACCTAATCATTCCACCTAAGATTGGCACTAAATGTCGCTATGGTGATCCGTTTAGGGGAGGTACTAATCCAGTAATTAAGTATGAGGCTGGAATTGGAACAGAAAAGTTACAGACAGATGTTGTACCATACAGAGAGATATATAGGCCATGTATACCATGCAATACACAGTGTTCTTTACTTAACTGTCAGTCTGATTGTGATCTTAATCAGCATACTGTTGTGGCCTTCACTTTGGATGACCTTGTTCTTGAACCTTTTATTCTGACAGAAAATGAGACAGGACATCAATACAACAAAACAGCCATGTATTATACTACAGGTATTTTAATATTTTTTTTGTGATTGGCTTTCATTGTCTAATTTTCTAATTCTTATACCATTATACATAAAATATTTGTTTGGTTGCAAATTAGAAAATGTTAAAATTGAGATAGAGCATTAAGCTTATTAGTATTAAGTCCAAATTGACTAGTCTATTATTTGAAAAGACAGTAGGTATGTAAATTACAGCAAACGTAAGTTTCAGTTCTTAGTCAAAGTACTGAAGGATTAATTTCATTAATCATTATTTAAAGCATACAATTAGTTTTCAATTCACTAGAGACACTGACAGTTAAGGTGTAAAGCCTTTTATTTGCTTACAGAGAGTAATATATACATGTAGTTAAATTTGTTTGTTTTCAGTTAAAGTATTGTTAGGATCAGGTCTAACCTCTGAAGGATCATCAGATGGATTCTACATTGACCTGACTCCACCTGTATTTGAACCTGAAGTCATGACCCAGATCTATATTGATGTGACCCAGGGAGAGTTTACACCAGTGAAGTACCAAGCATCCAGTGACACTATAAAAGCTTACTGGTACTGTTATGATGATGAAAGTTTAATCAAGGTATAATTCCTGACAATTTAAATATATCCACTCACTCACATGCAGAACCTATGATTTTAGTGGAACTAACATGCCTTTATGTTCATTTGATGTCTTACAAACCAGAATTTAAAATCTGTTATCCAATGGCACATATTTTTTTTATACAAAAATGCAGTTTTTATGTCTTATCCGTGACAAGCACAAGGGTATATTAAAGGGTTTTGTATTTGGTCATCCTAATCAAGATTAAGGGTATAATTGTACTATCATAATGCTATCTTTCTTTTCAATGCACAAAATCTTTTTGAAAACCTATAAAATTTGGATGTCCCATATTGCTTTATATGTGGAGACCTTTAAGTTGCTTATGCAAATACAGAATTCAGAAAATAGCCTTGAAAATTTCAATGAATTGGTAATAATAAATGAATTCAAATGATATATTACTACAGGATAATTTATGGGCTATTGGGACAACAAGTGGTGGAGAGGAGATACAGTCATTTACATCACTAGGTGTCAGACAGATTGGTATAAACAGCTCACTAGAGAGAGTGCTGCAAAGTAACCAAACTTATTATGTCTCTATAATATGTCAGAATGGAGCAGGACAAATCACACAGTGGAATGATAACAAAGGTCAATAAACAGCATAACCAACAATGACAAAATCAGAAATCTTTTTTTTTTTTTTTTAATTTACACATCAGTGTTCTTTTATGAGGCCAAAATTAGCATGAATTTCTTTTTTCTGCCAAATTCAATGAAAACAAAAGGGATCTTTTAATTTTAAGTTTATTACATGAAATAAACCTATTTGTTGATTTTCAACAAAATCTCTGGGTTTTTATTACCAACTTTTTAGAAGAAAATCTCAGCAAAACTAGTCCTATTTTATTTCCTTGTATGTTAACGCATCTACTGGAAAACTGTTTAATTCTGAAATAAAGGACTTGATATTGGGAACCAAATAGGGCCCTTCCTGCACCTTCTTCTTTAGAACATCAATAAATACTATTATGTACATTTTAAGCCTTGTCTTCATACCTTTAGGAGCATACCTAGGTTGTTTACACTAAGAATACTATTTATTTATGACATACACTGATAGACATGGTAAAATAAGTTTGTATTTAATTTGAATGATTCTCACATGTTTCAGAGTTCAATTTTGAAAGTTTGGTATTTCTGATCTTGAATGACATATGTCATACAAGATTCTGCTTTATGAAGATATTACTGTAATTTTTTCACGGTTGCTAGTTTTTGTTGAATTAAGGCCAGCTTTCTGACCAAGAAATGTATTGTAACCATCTTAGAACAGTATATTACTGAACATATAAAGCGTTAAGTTGACACTGTAATATTTTTCAAGGTTAATGTATGCTGAGACTACTATAGCACCTATAAGATGTTTTATAGTAGTCTCAGATGTATGCAAGCTACAAATTCTTTAATGATTTTAAAAATATTACAGGTGTAGTAGCTTTATTGGAACCGCCTGATGTTGAAGTCATCAACACAACAGTGGTAGGAGCTGAAGATTTTGATCAACCTGTCACCCCTTCTAATTCTAAACGTGGTACAGACCCTGACACTATTGGCTTCTCATTTTCCCTGAGTGAGGATGAAGCAGTTACAAGATATGGTAAACAATTATTGTACATATGAAATAACATTGAACATTTTATACTGAATTTGCTGTAGTTATTCTACTTGTGAAAAGACATCCTGAGTATACATTAAAGATTTGTCACTGGACATTCAAAAGATAACAAACAAAACTGTATTATCATTACTTATAAATATTGTATAAAAAAACATGATTTGAGTGTCCAAAAAAATGAAAAAAATTAGTACACTGATTATTAAAGTCATCATAATATGCATTAAACATTTGCCGCTGGACATTAGTCTACATTTGCATAATCAATACTTTTAAAATTTAGCACATAAAACTGTATAAAAATCATCATGGTTTTCATGTTGAAAAAATGTACAAAAGGATACTATAAAGGTGTATATTTTAGCATTTATGGTTTTTTTTATCATACAATTCTAAATTTGTGAATTGCATGATGAGTATGCTATTCATAACAACATTGTTGCTTTTTTAAAGTAGGGATATATTTATACCCCCGCTTTAAAAAAGTAGGGGTATACTGTTTTACCTCTGTCTGTCCGTCTGTCCGTCCATCCCATGAAAATTTTTTGTCGCATCTTTCTCAGGAACTACATCATAAGAATTTCTGAAATTTGGTTTCAGGTTTTATAAAAGTCAGCTATACCGTGTGATGCGTTTTCAGATTCATCACTCAACAACTTCCTGTTTGCCGAACACTTGTATCATTTTACATATTTTTACACTATTAAAATTATCCAGTTACGGCTGGGGTATCATCAGTGAGCAGTAGCTCGCAGTTTCACTTGTTTCACGCATTTTACATAATCTTCTGTTTACAGCAGTACTCTGATGAATAAGGTTTCTTAGTATTAAGATTTAAAAGTGCAGCTTAGTTTTATCTGCAAAGAAACTTGATTATTGAAGGAATGCTTTACTACAAATAGAGTTGTATTAAAATTCAAAATCTTTTTTTTAAATATTGAGATACTAACTGCAATAGTCATTTGATGCAATAATTAGGGCCCTTTCAAATAGTCAACGTGTGCCCTAAAGTTATCACTCTGTCTGTCAGCACTTCTATGTCTTATGTTAAATAAAAATTGCCTAAACTGATTTTCAAAATTTGTTTGCTAAGTGTTAAAAGCTAGAAAAGGAAGGTTCCATTGTTTCTTTTTTTTTGTGGAATTTGGATAAAAATTGTGGTAAAAATATTTAGTTTTTGTTTTAGAAAAAAATAATAAACTTTGTGAAACATCTTGTTGTGCCAAAATTTCAAAAAAAACTAACACATGAGTTATGATATGCTAATCAAAATTGATTTGTAATGACAAAAATTTTATTCAGGATTTTTGAAAGAGGCATAATTCCATAAAACGGATTATAGAAAAGAATTTGAACAATTTTATACTAAAAAATCATATAAATCGTGAAAAACATGATATAATTATTTTTTTGGCAATCAAAGGGGGGATGTACACCATCTAGACCTTGGATCCACCACTGAAATAGGGATAAAGTATACCATAAAAACTTATCATAAATCACAAACATCTTTTTGTGCTAGGGTTTCACTTAAAATTGATATATAGATTTAATAATCTATTTTAAGTTGATTTCATGTATCAAAAATTGTTTTAAAATGGGATAAAAACTTACTCTTTGTTTAAAATCACAAATTTGGAGAAACATCTTTATGTGCTGGAATTTCAATGAAAACTGATACATAGGTGTCTATGCTTTCCCTTTTGTTACCTGATGTCAAAATTGTGGTAAACTTGATTCATTGTGTAAAATATTATGGGTTGCCCACCAAAATACATAGTGCTTTGACTTCAACAAAACTTCTATTTATTTTTGTATTATAGATATCTGTTTGGGATCATCCAAGATAAATGATGATATTTTCCCTTGTACCTACATCAGTGTTAACATGTCTGGTACAGTTTTGATAAAGAATGGCTCTATTTACATGAATGAGTACAAACTATATGATTTGCATGAACTCAGAAAAGACCAGAGTAGTTCTTCCACTAATACCTTCCACATGGAGCCAGGGAGAACTCTGTTTATAACACTCAGAGCTTGTAATGATGCCTACCTATGTAGTAACAAATCCTTAGGAACGGTTACCATGATGGATGATAAAGCTGTGATGAAGACATCAATGGGAGGTGAACCTCTAGAGGTGGAGTATGATATGTCAGCTAACAGGAGGAAGAGGAGGAGTTTAGGGGATACTCTTATTATAATAACACCTGATGGTTAGTAGCACTTCAATGATATACATCAAAAACATCTGATATGATTATTTTGATTGATGAGTAAGATGGTTTTGGTGAGTACTGGGACACACCACCTACATGTTAAAAGGGAGTATTTAAAGTAAATCGTTTATCATTAGATCAGTTGGTTAGTAAAACGAGGCAGAAGACACCGAGGGGACATTCAAAACTTTTAAGTCGAGAGAAACTGACAATGCCATAGCCATAAAAGAAAGATCAGAAAACACTATATAGAAAACTAAAGACTGAACAACACTAACCCAACCAAAATTGGGGTGTTATCAGACAGGCCAGGGCCGTAACTATGAGTGAGACGAGGCAATTCTCGTCTGAATTTCTGGCAAAACAAAATAATAATAAGGGGAAAAAAAGAAAATGGAGAAAGTTAGGCATGCAGAGGGTAGAACACATCCTTGCATTTTAACATCAAGAATTATGTAATGCATACTTCAAATACGTGTAGTAATTTATGTTGACGTGCAGCTTCTGTACTTTTATTTCAACTTAGGGTATCAAACTCTCTGTATCTGATTACCATCGCCAGTAAATCGGCATTTGGTTCTGCAATTATTTATTTCCCGTGAAAATGAATTATTGATAATGGATATTTCCCACATTATCAGTGCGCAAAGTAAATCAAAATTAAAATGGTTCGAATTCTTCAACTTGCTAGGTCAATATTATTAATGAATTCACAGATCACACATGAATACCAAAACACCCCACAATTTGTGTGTAATTCTCTTTCAAATAAAATGAAGATTTGAGGCATTTTCAAATGTTTTGCTACAAACCTGGCTGCAATTCGAAAACATAACATTTTTTTCGGATGGATGAAGGATTTGTTTGGTTTAACGGCAAGTAGGCTTTCTTTACGCTATATAATGGAAAGCAGGTTATGTACATGTGATAATTCCATTCGAGTGTTAAATGGACAGGACAAGACCTTTGCAGACTGACAATTTGATTGCTTGATACTTTGAATGTTCATGGAGTATTGTGGGAGAACTTCGGGCTTGCGAAATAAAGACGGTCACACAATTAACCATGGTTAAGGTGACTAGAGAGTATTTGATTTGTATCATTATTGAGTCGGGTGTTAGGCATTTATAAAATTAGCAAAAAAGATTAATTATTCAATTCCAAGAAAGTCATGAGTCAGACGATGGGATCTTAGTGGCACAAGATATGTCAAACTAGCATTCACAGACAGTGACTAGATTCCAGCCTTTGTGCTTTATTTAAGTGTTATTGAAAATGTGTGTTATTTTTAATGAAGCGTTGACCACACACACTTGTCTCACATTTTCTACTACCAAACATATACCCTACTGTTAATATTCGAGGCAAGTATCTGTCAATCGGCTCAGAGTACAGTTCTTAATACGATAAATATGAAATAAAAACAATAAATATGATACAAAAAACGGAGGTAACAAGATATATTTAGAACAATATTATTATAATTTTCGGCCGGAAGGGGGGGGGGGGTTGCCCCCTGGTCCCCCCATTACCTGGGGGCCTCAATCGTTGGCCCCCAAACCCCAGCCTTGTCTGTTACCAAGGCCTAGTTACAGCCCTGCAGGCTAATCATATATAACAACTTTTCATTATGCAACCTGATGGTAAGTATTTGGGCAAGTAATGTGGCATATTTAATCATTATATGATACTGATTTAACTGTTTTGGTATCTTGTAGGACTTGCCTCTAAACAGAGTATATTAATGGAACCATTAAATAATACAGATTTAACTGTTTTGGTATTTTTCAGGACTTGCCTCTGGACAGAGTATATTAATGGAACCATTAGATAATGCTGTTTTAATTGTTTTTGTATTTTTCAGGACTTGCCATTGGACAAAGTATATTGATGGAACCATTAGATAGTACTGATTTAACAGCTGTTTATGATTCAGTATCCTCAACAGCGTTCCAACCCTATATAGTAAATCCTAATGATACCATGGATTTAGTAGACAGACTTCTTTATAGAAGGTGAGTAGTACGTGGTTCCAACCCTATATAGTAAATCCTAATGATACCATGGATTAAGTAGACAGACTTCTTTATTGAAGGTGAGTAAAACCCTATATAGTAAATCCTAATGATACCATGGATTTAGTAGACAGACTTCTTTATAGAAGGTGAGTAAAACCCTATATAGTAAATCCTAATGATACCATGGATTTAGTAGACAGACTTCTTTATAGAAGGTGAGTAAAACTCTATATAGTAAATCCTAATGATACCATGGATTTAGTTGACAGACTTCTTTATAGAAGGTGAGTAGAACCCTATAAAGTAAATCCTTATGATACCATGGATTTAGTAGACAGACTTCTTTATAGAAGGTGAGTAATACCCTATATAGTAAATCCTAATGATACCATGGATTCAGTGGTTCTTTATAGAAGGTGAGTAGTATATGGTATCAACCCTATATAGTAAACTCTAAAGATACCATGGATTTAGTAGACAGACTTCTTTATAGAAGGTGAGTAAAACCCTATATAGTAAATCCTTATGATACCATAGATTTAGTAGACAGACTTCTTTATAGAAGGTGAGTAAAACCCTATATAGTAAATCCTAATGATACCATGGATTTCGTAGACAGACTTCTTTATAGAAGGTGAGTAAAACCCTGTATAGTAAATCCTAATGACACCATGGATTTAGTAGACAGACTTCTTTATAGAAGGTGAGTAAAACCCTATAAAGTAAATCCTAATGATACCATCGATTTTTTAGACAGACTTCTTTATAGAAGGTGAGTAAAGCCCTATATAGTAAATCCTAATGATATCATGGATTTAGTAGACAGACTTCTTCATTGAAAGTGAGTAGTACATGGTTCCAACCCTATATAGTAAATTCAAATGATACCATGGATTTAGTAGACAGACTTCTTCATAGAAGGTGGGTAAAACCCTATATAGTAAATCCTAATGATACCAGAGATTTTGTAGATAGACTTCTGTATAGAAGGTGATTAGTACAGAGTTCTAACCCTATATAGTAAATCCTAATGATACCATGGATTTAGTAGACAGACTTCTTTATAGAAGGTGAGTAGTACATGGTTCCAACCCTATATAGTAAATCCTAATGATACCATGGATTTAGTAGACAGACTTCTTTATAGAAGGTGAGTAAAACCCAATATAGTAAATCCTTATGATACCATGGATTTAGTAGACAGACTTCTTTATAGAAGGTGAGTAAAACCCTATATAGTAAATCCTTATGATACCATGGATTTAGTAGACAGACTTCTTTATAGAAGGTGAGTAAAACCCTATATAGTTAATCCTAATGATACCATGGATTTAGTAGACAGACTTCTTTAGAGAAGGTCAGTAGAACCCTTTATAGTAAATCCTAATGATACCATGGATTTAGTAGACAGACTTCTTTAGAGAAGGTGAGTAGAACCCTATATAGTAAATCCTTATGATACCATGGATTTAGTAGACAGACTTCTTTATAGAAGGTGAGTTAAACCCTATATAGTAAATCCTAATGATACCATGGATTAGGAGACAGACTTCTTTATAGAAGGAGGGTAAAACCCTATATAGTAAATCCTAATGATACCATGGATTTAGTAGACATACTTCTTTATAGAAGGAGGGTAAAACCCTATATAGTAAATCCTAATGATACCATGGATTTAGTAGACAGACTTCTTTATAGAAGGTGAGTAAAACCCAATATAGTTAATCCTAATGATACCATGGATTTAGTAGACAGACTTCTTTATAGAAGGAGGGTAAAACCCTATATAGTAAATCCTAATGATACCATGGATTTAGTAGACAGACTTCTTTATAGAAGGTGAGTAAAACCGTATATAGTAAATCCTAATGATACCATGGATTTAGTAGACAGACTTCTTTATAGAAGGTTAGAAGGTGAGTAAAACCCTATATAGTAAATCCTAATGATACCATGGATTTAGTAGACAGACTTCTTTATAGAAGGTGAGTAGTACATGGTTCCAACCCTATATAGTAAATCCTAATGATACCATGGATTTAGTAGACAGACTTCTTTATAGAAGGTGAGTAAAACCCTATATAGTAAATCCTAATGATACAATGGATTTAGTAGACAGACTTCTTTATAGAAGGTGAGTAAAACCCTATATAGTTAATCCTAATGATACCATGGATTTAGTAGACAGACTTCTTTATAGAAGGTGAGTAGTTCATGGTTCCAACCCTATATAGTAAATCCTAATGATACCATGGATTTAGTAGACAGACTTCTTTATAGGAGGTGAGTAAAACCCTATATAGTAAATCCTAATGATACCATGGATTTAGTAGACAGACTTCTTTATAGAAGGTGAGTAAAACCCTATATAGTAAATCCTAATGATGCCACGGATTTAGTAGACAGACTTCTTTATAGAAGGTGAGTAAAACCCTATATAATAAATCCTAATGATACCATGGATTTAGTTGACAGACTTCTTTATAGAAGGTGAGTAGAACCCTATAAAGTAAATCCTTATGATACCATGGATTTAGTAGACAGACTTCTTTATAGAAGGTGAGTAATACCCTATATAGTAAATCCTAATGATACCATGGATTCAGTGGTTCTTTATAGAAGGTGAGTAGTACATGGTATCAACCCTATATAGTAAACTCTAAAGATACCATGGATTTAGTAGACAGACTTCTTTATAGAAGGTGAGTAAAACCCTATATAGTAAATCCTAATGATACCATGGATTTCGTAGACAGACTTCTTTATAGAAGGTGAGTAGTTCATGGTTCCAACCCTATATAGTAAATCCTAATGATACCATGGATTTAGTAAACAGACTTCTTTATAGGAGGTGAGTAAAACCCTATATAGTAAATCCTAATGATACCATGGATTTAGTAGACAGACTTCTTTATAGAAGGTGAGTAAAACCGTATATAGTAAATCCTAATGATACCATGGATTTAGTAGACAGACTTCTTTATAGAAGGTGAGTAAAACCCTATATAGTAAATCCTAATGATACCATGGATTTAGTTGACAGACTTCTTTATAGAAGGTGAGTAGAACCCAATAAAGTAAATCCTTATGATACCATGGATTTAGTAGACAGACTTCTTTATAGAAGGTGAGTAATACCCTATATAGTAAATCCTAATGATACCATGGATTCAGTGGTTCTTTATAGAAGGTGAGTAGTACATGGTATCAACCCTATATAGTAAACTCTAAAGATACCATGGATTTAGTAGACAGACTTCTTTATAGAAGGTGAGTAAAACCCTATATAGTAAATCCTAATGATACCATAGATTTAGTAGACAGACTTCTTTATAGAAGGTGAGTAAAACCCTATATAGTAAATCCTAATGATACCATGGATTTCGTAGACAGACTTCTTTATAGAAGGTGAGTAAAACCCTGTATAGTAAATCCTAATGACACCATGGATTTAGTAGACAGACTTCTTTATAGAAGGTGAGTAAAACCCTATAAAGTAAATCCTAATGATACCATCGATTTTTTAGACAGACTTCTTTATAGAAGGTGAGTAAAGCCCTATATAGTAAATCCTAATGATATCATGGATTTAGTAGACAGACTTCTTCATAGAAAGTGAGTAGTACATGGTTCCAACCCTATATAGTAAATTCAAATGATACCATGGATTTAGTAGACAGACTTCTTCATAGAAGGTGGGTAAAACCCTATATAGTAAATCCTAATGATACCAGAGATTTTGTAGATAGACTTCTGTATAGAAGGTGATTAGTACAGAGTTCCAACCCTATATAGTTAATCCTAATGATACCATGGATATAGTTGACAGACGTCTTTATAGAAGGTGAGTAGTACATGGGTCCATCCCTATATAGTAGATCCTAATGATACCATGGATTTAGTAGACAGACTTCTTTATAGAAGGTGAGTAAAACCCTATATAGTTAATCCTAATGACACCATGGATTTAGTAGACAGACTTCTTTAAAGAAGATGGGTAAAACCCTATATAGTAAATCCTAATGATACCATGGACTTAGTAGACAGACTTCTTTATAGAAGGTGAGTAAAACCCTATATATAATAAATCCTAATGATACCATGGATTTAGTAGACAGACTTCTTTATAGAAGGTGAGTAAAACCCTATATAGTAAATCTTAATGATACCATGGATTTAGTAGACAGACTTCATTATAGAAGGTGATTAGTACATGGTTCCAACCCTATATAGTAAATCCTAATGATACCATGGATTTAGTAGACAGACTTCTTTATAGAAGGTGAGTAGTACATGGTTCCAACCCTATATAGTAAATCCTAATGATACCATGGATTTAGTAGACAGACTTCTTTATAGAAGGTGAGTAAAACCCAATATAGTAAATCCTTATGATACCATGGATTTAGTAGACAGACTTCTTTATAGAAGGTGAGTAAAACCCTATATAGTAAATCCTAATGATACCATAGATTTAGTAGACAGACTTCTTTATAGAAGGTGAGTAAAACCCTATATAGTAAATCCTAATGATACCATGGATTTCGTAGACAGACTTCTTTATAGAAGGTGAGTAAAACCCTGTATAGTAAATCATAATGACACCATGGATTTAGTAGTCAGACTTCTTTATAGAAGGTGAGTAAAACCCTATAAAGTAAATCCTAATGATACCATTGATTTTTTAGACAGACTTCTTTATAGAAGGTGAGTAAAGCCCTATATAGTAAATCCTAATGATATCATGGATTTAGTAGACAGACTTCTTCATAGAAAGTGAGTAGTACATGGTTCCAACCCTATATAGTAAATTCAAATGATACCATGGATTTAGTAGACAGACTTCTTCATAGAAGGTGGGTAAAACCCTATATAGTAAATCCTAATGATAACAGAGATTTTGTAGATAGACTTCTGTATAGAAGGTGATTAGTACAGAGTTCCAACCCTATATAGTAAATCCTAATGATACCATGGATTTAGTAGACAGACTTCTT